CATCGGCAGACGGACTCTCAACCACTGTGCCACCAGGGAAGCCCACGAGCATACATTTTTGAGCATAAAATGTATCCTCAGAACCATTTTCTTTCCTGTGTAGTCTTCCATTTCATTTACTTTTTAGATGCACTTAATACACTTAGGCCTTCTGAAAAGACAATGCTGGGATCGAGGAGAATTAACAAAATAGCAGAATCTCAGCTCACTCATAAGAAAGAATTCTGTTGAGTTTTGTTCTCATGAAAAGGTCATCATTAGTAGTGGACCCTGCCGGGCTCTGTTCCAGGCAGTGGGGAAGCAGCGAATATCTCGGCCTTCGTGGATGGAGTAGTCAGGGGGTAGGAGGTTAGGTGTGCGGCAGCGAGGGGCCTCCTAGGCTGCGCCCCCAGAGGAGAGGACTTGCTCACCTGGTCATGGGCACAGGGGTCACCCAGACTTCTTGGCTGGAGAGGATGTTTTTCCTGCCTGAAAGGACAGAGTACACATGGATTTTCTGAGGGTAGCTGGGCTCCCAAAGCAAAGGGACAGAGGGCTGTGCACACCCAGTTTTTTCTAAATGTACGAATCAAGTAAGTCACTCTACCACCATAGGAGTGAATAAGAGATTGGAGAGCCCACCCGAGTACTTAGGAAAAATGCCCTTCTCCTTGAAACCAAAGAAGTGCGGAAGAAGCCTTTTCTCTGCCACCTTCCCCGTTTCCAGCTTTGCCCCAAATCTTAATTTAGTGTGACAGCCAAGACCCCCACCAGTGTGTTCAGCCTCAGCTCCGGATGGTTCCTTTTTTACCCCCTACACTGCCGCATTGTCGAAGAAGTACATCTGTCCATGCTTCTCGGAATGTTCTTTCCCATGTTGCACTTGATAAAAACCCTAGCCCTCTTCCAGTCCTTCATTTATACTCGCCTCCTCTGACGCCCCTGGGTGGGTTCGACTGCTCCCTCCACAGAACTTGAGTCACCGTCTCTGCCTCTAGGTCACAACACTGCATATTCCATGTTGGGTACCCTTAGCAGGCGGTGAACTTGCCTTGGGACAGCAACTATTACTTATTTTTGTACAGTTTTTCACTAACGTAGTGCTAGTTATATGATGATCTCCCCCCAGTAATACCCAATTCTCCTTTACAAAACCACCTTTGTCACCGAAAACATTAAGATGCCAGAAATCGGTAAAATGTGAAAGAAGAGAATGGAATTTTGAAGTTGTGTTTTTGATGCTTCATAAAAATATTTCAGACTGTTTTAAAATTTCCTTTTGGCTTAAATTTGTAGAGCAGCCAGTGTTTTCAGTGATTAAAATGTTAGAAAATTTAAGTGATCCCTTTCTCTTTACCTGTCCCAATGGAGCATCTCCTACGTGTCTTAACGTCGGCGGGGGGATACTGTTGACACAAATGTCATCAATTATACAACTTTAAAAAAAAAAGTTAGGATATTTGCTGTCCAATATAGCATAACTTTTTTAGTAGTCCTTTTTCAGCAGCATTTTCCTTGACAGTTTTTTGTAATTTGTAAGTAAAAGAAGCCTGAAACAAACAGTAACAATGAATTTCAATTTTATTTTTAGCAAAAGCACCTGGAAATTGAAAGAACTACTAAATGGTTGAAAATGCTAAAAGGATGGGAAAAATACAAGAACACTGAAAAGGTAATTAAAAATGTTACTTCCTTATGAAACTATACAAATTCAATGTGGATTTTCCCAGTAAAAGTTCCTCTTTAATTATAAGAGTATTATGTTCATATTCTTAAAAATTTTTTAAGTGTAATTTAATTGAGTGGAATGCCTCAAATTAGGAGTCTTTGTGCTGTCACAGAATAGCCAGTTCAGATGGGTTGCAGGAATTGAGAGGATGTGGCGGACAGTCCAGAGGCCAGCTGGCTTTCGGGGATGATTGAATTCCGCTACTTGGTTATGTTGCCTGTGATTTCGTTTCTTTCCGTTTCTCTTCTCTGCCTACTTCAGTGTCGGCTTCCTGCTGAGCTTGGCTTCCCTTTGGGATCAGGATTATTGCCGTCATTCCAGGCTTTGTACCCCCCTGTCTCTCTGCTCAGAAGGAGAGAGGCCTGGCCTCTGAAAGCTTTCTGTGAAGCAGGAGCGTCTCCTTGTCCTAAAGCTTCTAGCAGACCACCCTCGCACCCCGCCCCAGATCTTTTTACCTCGCATTGACTCTGTGCTGTTTTGAATCAATTTGTAAAAATGCATACATCTATTAATATTCCTACTAATCTAATCAGTAGGAATTCCTACTAATTCCTACTATTCTTCCTTAAATATTGGGAAGCTGTGAAGTTCCTAGTGGTGTAAGTTTTCCAAAATTCTAACTTTTGCTTGAAAGGGCAGATGTTATCAGGGGCAAAAATACTGTCAGGTATTTTCCTTAAAGTGGCTTACTTCATTTATTTTTGAGAAGAATGTCTGCTAAGTACCCAGTGTGAACAACCATGATTGGCTGGTCAGTCGTTCTTTCAAGTAATGACGGTGTCCGTGACCAAAGCAGTTGGTGCAGATCGCGATTCATACAATTTCATAAATGCTCTTTCTTGAGGCCGGCGCTCTGCTCTGTGTGCGTTCCACCTCATCTCTCAGAATATTAATAAGACGTGTGTGTATTCAGGATTGAGATTGAATGAAATTAATAGTTTCTACTGCTTCGTCAAGGGCGTTCCTAAGCGAACTGACCTCTTTTTTAAACTGTGAGGAAAGAATGCAATGACTGCCAGCACAGTGCTTCCTCTGCCTCAGTTTGTGTTGCGGTGCCAGGGCCTTCACCACCATGGCTTTTGTGCTCCCAGTGCCAAAGTCAACATAGGGAAAGAGGCAAATAATGGTTTAGTATCATTACAAAAATAGTCTTGACCTCATGGCCCATGCCTTGAGAACAGCTGACATCTAAGCCTCGGATTCCTCATCTATAAAGTGGAGATAACAATACCCATTTCAAAGAGATGAAGATTTAGTGATTTCATGCATATAAAGCACTTGGCATTGCACCTCGCATATAATAAGCATTCAATAGGATTGACTACTGCTATCAGTTTTTTGAAAGGTTGGGCAGTAAAAAATACTTAAAGGGAAAAAAGAAATCTTCCATAATCCTACAGCAAAACACTGAGCTGTTAGGATTTTTGTCTGTTTCCTCACACTTTTTTTCCATGCATTATATATTTTTTTCCTTTTTACATAGATACAAATTGTTGTGTGTCAGCCTTTACCAACAAGAATTCCAGGGAGCAGCAGTTCCTTGGGGTCTAACGGGTATTACACAAAAGCATTGTTGCCTAATGGTTAAGCAATAGACTATCCTAGGTTCAATCCCTAGCTCTGCCACATTACTAGTAGTATGACCTGGAGGAAGGTATTTAACCTTTTTCTGCCTTAGTTTACTTGTCTGTAAAATGGGGGTAATCACAATACCTCCTTCACAGAGTCGTTCTGAGGATTAAATAAGTTAATTCATGTAAAGCACAAAGAATAGTGTCTGATACTTAATATGCAGTCAGTAAGTGTTGTTTATTATTACATGAGAAAGGGGCTCTCTGGTTAAATAAAGTTGGGATAAAGCTGAACCGAGGTAAGCAGGTTTCTTTACTACAGGATGCCTCATCATCTTTAATATTATAACGTGGTAGAAATTTTCAAGAGGGACCTTAAATTGCATGACACTTATTCAGCCATGGAAATCTTTTTGTCATGGGGTATCTCACAGGAATAAGGTCACTCTTCTTTTTGAGCATCCTAAATATCCCTATTTAAATTCCATTAGACTCTTACTATTTTATTTCATCAGGAGTAAGTTCATTTCTGGGTTGCTGATTTCATTAAGGTGCTTCAAGAAGAATCCGTTCAGAGTAGGATGTTGGTCATGACCCCTGTGCTCTTGTTTAACACTCTGCTTCTCAGACTGGCCTAAAACTGACAACTACTTCACCTGACATCTTTGTGGAAAGGTCTCTCAAGCGCTAATTACAGGATCAGTTTTGATGTGTTGCACCTACACTTTCGTCTCAGCTTCAGTTCAATAAAATATTTGTAGAATTGTGTGGCTTTATACATATGTCGGAAAGTATATAAGCCTCCGTAAAAATGAGCATTCTACTGGGCTGTTAGGCTCACAGCAACTCTGGCTAACATACTTCCCAATAAGAGGGATTTTAGTAGAGCTCTTCCTTTCATGAATAATTTTAAAGTATTTTCCCACAGCTATAATGCTAGAGTTATTTGATGATATATATGGTCCAATCTGGTATGAGGTAGAATGTACCTTCTAAAAGAATGCTGCTCTCAGTTCATACCCAGTTTTAAGTTGCATTGAAGTTAAAAAGTAGTATATATTTTTCTTCTCTTCCAAAGGGAGGTATAAGTTTTCTCTCAACAGACTCCTTACTTATGTAGTAGTGGTACAAAGAAGTATCTAAAAATATCTTTAAATAAAAATATATAGCTCTGATAAGAATATTTGAATTTTTAGAATATAAGATTTAATGAAAAATAGTTGCCATTACGGTTGCCTGTGTTTTCACAGTGACTGCCCCCTATGTACAGTCATAGTGTATTTTTAAAATACAATCTATTAAATGAAGAGATGAAGTTATCTCTGCTAAGTAGAGGCCATTCTGATTTAACTAGCCATTATTAATTGTGTCTAAGCTCTGTCACAGCAGAGTTCCTACTACAGATACACATTTTTTTTTCTGGTTAAATAACTGAATGGACCTTTGTTCGTCAGGTAACTAACAGACTCATATTAGCCAACATTTGATTGTACTGATGTGAAAATGGAGGCACGATGTTTAGAAATAAATTTCTCAAGGCCATTATTAGTGACAAGCAAGAGATGCTACGTCCAGATACCATCTGTTTGCTAGCTCTCCCTTTCGGTGTTTGTCAGTAAAAGGCCGGAAGGAAATAGAAGGTGGTTGTAAGAGGCATTAGGGCCTTGTGGATTCTAAAGCTTTCAGATCCAGACTCAGGAGACGTGGGCCTATTTGGAGACAGAGACGAAGGGACCAACGGAGCAGGGACGACTGATGGAAATGAAGCCAATGAAGAGCACAGGCAGCTCAGAGAGTAAACTTTTGTCTCCTGGAGTTCACTTGCAGTTTTGATAGTCCCACCAAACTGAGCCAAACTTGCTGGGCTGAAAAGTTTACTCACTCGCAGCCATGCTGACACGTACTGCACATTTATCACTATTTTGAAACCAGTAAGGTTAGAAAGACGTGTTGAAAACATTAGGTCAGTTGATGGAAAAAAAAAATTGTTTTTTTTTTAGTTGATGGATTTTTAAATGTATCTGTGTGACTGAAATAGACCGCTTGATTTTATTGGCAAGTGAACAGAGATCATACCCATAAAATAAAATTGTAACAGAATTTTAAAGGTAGTACTTTTCAAATTGGAATATTAAAATATTAAAATCCAACATATAAAAATTCTATATATATCATGATTGTTCAGACTATGGTCTATGAAATCTGACTACTTGAATTTCAGTTCTTCCACAGTGTATTAGTTGTGTGACTTTGAGCTTATTACTAAACCTTTCTACACCTGATTTTCTCATCTGTAAAATGGACATGATAAGCACTGTACCTACCTCTTTAGGAATGTAAAAATACTACGAGGAATACTTTGATCTAGAAACATATCTCAGCTCCTAATAAATAATCATAAAATGTTAGTTAGTGTAACTGGTGTTACTAACATTGCTATTACTGTTTGATTTATCACTATCTGTACCCTCGTCCCCATCCTCATTTCTCCTTCCTGGAAAATTCCTGCATATCCTTTATGTTGAGTTTGTTGTCATCCTCTCTAAAGGAAATCTTTCCTTACTCTCTCCCGCAGAACTCGCCCCCCTTCCTCCATTATAGTATCTCTGGTATAGTCTTGGGATGAGAGCCCCGGTGTTGGACCAATAAAGAAGTGACCACCACAGCAGATTCACTGCCCCTGCCCCCAACACCTTTATCCCTAAACTGTTTCTGGTTTCCCTTAGAATCTCGTGTCTGTTCCGTAAGGGCCAGCTGCCTCCTGAAATCACTCCCCCAGATGAGACAGCGTGGCACCTGCCATTCTCCCATTACCACCCAGGCCCACCTCTGGTGGGGATGATGTCTATCACGACTTGCCCCTCAGGGTGTGATACTCAGCTCTGATAGGAATTAACATATGTGACCTTATTACAAAGGATTATGTTTATAATTATATGATTCTATGATTATCTTCCCCACTACACTGTGAACGCCACAGAACTTTTTCAAGTTTGTATCCATAGTACCTAGTAAGCATTGGCCACAAAGCAGAAAGTCATTACAGTTTCTGTTTACAGTGAATGAACGAATGTTGTTCACTTTTGAGTTGGGATGACCAGCTGTCCCCTTCTACTGATAAATTCTACTACTTTAATAAAGTTGTGATCTCTAAGGGGCAGTGTGATTTGGCAGAAATATCCTGAAGCAGGAGCAGGAAGATGGAATTCTTGGCCTAGGCAGGCCACTTCTTTGTCCCTTGATTCCCTGCTGGAATTTCAAATTTGAAACTTACTGTGTTTATACCAAGAGAACAAAACTGAGATTATGTATGTAATTATCTGATGGAATCAACTTCACAGTATTCAGTGTTTCACAGGAAAAGTTATTCTATAGTGTCACTGATTTAAAATCAGAGTTTCTTAAAGCTACATCATAATTTAGTTACTAAAGGTTTCATTTTTAAAAATCTAGTATAATTGTAGAAGTTGAAGCTCTGCTTATTAGTTCATAGCTCGTCAACATCTCAATTATTAGAACTTGCATCTTATTTTCTTGGCCGTACTACTTCAATATATTATTTTGATCATAAAGGTAACTATGTACTTATTCTTACCTCGCTCCTGAAGTTTCTGCCGTAATTTCTTTAATCATTTCCTTTTAAGTTTCATCTACTTTTAAGTTTCAAAGTTTCCTTATGCACAACTTTGTAATGAACATAATAGGTTTATATGTTATTTTGAATACGTAATTAGCCTTGAGAAAAAAGATATAATTACAAGAAGATGGAGAAGTATGGTGAGTCTTAAGATTCTTAGAGTGATGGCAGTGTACTTTCAAGGACCCAGAGTGTTAATGATGCTGATGATTTATACCTAATTTCATTCAAAGGTGATGATGCTCCTTCTTGATGGAAATTTATCACTATTTTTGTCTGGTCAGATAGGATCAATGTCATTAAGAAGAGGACAGGGGTTTTCCTGAAGAAACGCTCCAGAATTGGGAAGAGGAGAGGGAAGAGGGAGAGAGTGTGTGTTTGGGGGGTGGAGGTGGACTTGAATGAAGACTATAGGTCACATTGAGTTATGAGAAGGTTCTAGAGAGACTCTACCCTCCTTGAAGGCACTTTGACACAAGAGAACCCTTTTGCTATTTGGAACCTTTTAGATGTAGGAGGGAAAAAGAAGAAAATGTGTATCTAGTTAGTTATATCAGTGGGGGGTGTGTAAGTCAGATGTTCACAACTTAAAGAACACTGATTGTGCTCTCGTGCCACTGAAGGAACACCTTTGCAGTGTATGAAAATAACTAATGTACTGGGCATACTTAACATTTTCTTGTTTATTCTGTGCTTTCTCTGTATATGCCTTCCTGTTTGGATCTGAAAAGTAGAGATGAGAGGATCCAAATGTGCCATGTTAAATTGTATCAATTATGAGGAATCCTTCGAAAAGAAAAGACTAACAAATATTCATTAGTTTGATTTAAGGGACTAGTCTAAGCTTTGTCAGTTTGTAACTTTCAATTTATGTTTCTTTTAATAAGTTTCATAGGAGAATTTACAAAGGAATCCCACTCCAGCTCAGAGGGGAAGTCTGGGCCCTCCTCCTGGAGATCCCGAAAATGAAGGAAGAAACCAGAGACCTATATAGTGTGAGTACCGAGAGCCAGCCTGTTATTTTGAAACGAGCATTCAATGTTGGGGCATATTTGTAAGGAAAATTGACCAACACCTGGTTGTAGCTACTCATTTGCAATGTAGTATTAATAATAAAGAGATTTACAATGTCACTTTTAGAGTTTTTGGGAAAATAACAGCAGAATTCAGTTTATCCAACGGCTGCCTGTGTATGATTGACTGTTTTCTTCTTCTTTCCCCTAAGATTGTTACAGTATTCTAGGTTTTATTTTTTTATTTATAAAAAGTTAAACGTTTCACTCAGTGATCAGTAATGCTTTCTGTATATTAGTCAGGGCATTAAATTTACCTCCTTGTCATCTCAGCTATACCCTTTCTAAACGTAAACTTTATATTAACCTTTGAAAGGAATAAGAAACATATATCTAAAAATAACTTTGTGCCTTAGAAAAAGTGTTCAATGTCACTAATAAAAAAGGAAATGTAAATTTAAAAAAATTAAAAATAAAAATAACTTTGAAATCTCAGAAAATGTATATAAATAGAATAAATTAAGATAGAATAACTGAAATAAAGACAAATTATAATAAAAATAACTTTGAAATCTGTTCCTCAGAAAATGTATATAAATAGAATAAGACCGAATAACTGAAATAAAGACAAATTATTTGTCAGTTAAACCCAACACCAATTATAAAAGGGGCTTTGGAATGCTCTTTTGATATTTTCATATTTATGTATAAATAAGCAAAATTTCATCAAGATGTAAGGTAATAGGGCTTCCCTGGTGGCACAGTGGTTGAGAATCCGCCTGCCCGTACAGCGGACACAGGTTCGAGGTCTGGTCTGGGAAGATCCCACGTGCCACGGAGCAACTAAGCCCGTGCACCACAACTACTGAGCCTGTGCTCTAGAGCCCGTGAGCCGCAACTACTGAGCCTGCGTGCTGCAACTACTGAAGCCTGTGCACCTAGAGCCCGTGCTCCGCAACAAGAGAAGCCACTGCAGTGAGAAGCCCACGCACCGCAACAAAGAGTAGGCCCCGCTCACCGCAACTGGAGGAAGCCCGCGCAGCAACAAAGACCCAATGCAGCCAAAAATAAATAAATTAAGTAAATAAATTTTTAAAAAGATTTAATAAATATTGGTTAATTTAAACAGTTACTTGTTTTTTATGATGTAAAGAGTTTTTAAATTAGTTGTTTGGACCCTGCACAGAATATAAGTTTTGTCTCAGGATTTTAGAGTTTCAAATTATTTTAGATGGTTGATTAGATATTTGCCTTTAATGTCATAGTTTTAGAACCAGTATTGAAAAATGATATATGAGAGAAATATTTAAAATCTAACCCCAGCCCCTAGTATAGTGTGCCTCTCATAGGGTGGGTGCTCAGTAAATAATTTATTTAATTAATAAAGAAGAAAATTTTACTTAGCATGCTGTTTTGGTTTCCTGGGGCTGCCATGACAAAGTCCCACAAACTGAGTGGCTGAAAACAACAAACATTTATTCTCCTGCAGTTCCGGAGGATAGAAGTCTGAGATCAGGGTGTCAGCAGGGCCATGCTCCATCCCAAGGCTTTAGGGAAGAACCTTTCCTTGACTCTTCCTAGATCCTGGAGTTGCCGGCATCCAGGGTGTTCTTTGGCTTGAGGCTGCGTCACTCCAGTCTCTCCCTCTGTCCTCAAGTGGCCTTTCCTTGTGTGTGTCTCTGTCTCACCTTCTAAGGACTCTAGTCATTGGATTTAGGGTCGACCCTAATCTAGTATGACCTCCTCTTAACTTGACTACATCTGTAAAGACCCTATTTCCAAATCAGGTCATAGGCCCAGGTTCTAGGTAGACAGGAATTTGGGGTGGATGCTATTCAACCCAGTACATATGCTAATATTAGAACTGTGGTTCAGGCTTTTTCTACATAGAATAAAATTATCCAGTTACTGTATATCCAGTATACAGTAACAAGAAAAGAAATGACTTGCCCACCAGTCATTTCAAGCTTGTAATTTTCAGCGCTATCATAAGCATTATTTTTACTACTTGAGATTCCTCTAGCATTTAACCAAGTCTTCCTTTCCCAGTTACTTTCTTTTACTCTCTCTTTGCAAAAGTAGTATATAAATGGCTGTCCTGAAATGGGAAATTCAATGGTAATAAAACTACTTTTTCTTAATCTATTGATACTAAGATTTTTCTCAAATGGTGGAATTGTCCTGATTCCCGAGCCAGTGCTCTTATCTGCTATTTCTCCTGTTCTTTTAATTGTATCTCATTGTTATCTGTCTCTCTGGAGTATAGTGCTCTCTCTCACAGGTGGCAGAGGTCCAGTGACAGTGGATAACAACCTCACCTGCAGCCTTAGCAAGACTTAGTAATCTTGTTGGCCAAACCCACAGTGAAATTGCTAGTTTTTCATCCAGATACTTTCCACTGTACTTCTGCTCTCAGGTTTATAGGTTCATTACATTCCTATTTCTTTTAAGTAAAATGTTTATTCTTTATTATTGTGACACTCATGGATCTTAACCCACCCAATCTCAGAGTAACCTTAGAAGTTGCTTACACCTCCTTTCATTAAGATAAGAAATATGCTTGATTTCCTATATTCTGCACATTGGCTTGTAACCATTCTAGGACATAAATAATCTTTCTGCTCTATTATTTTTTACCTGCTTAACTGGGCTTTGTTTCTGTTATGAGGTCTTTTCTTATGTTGAATTTTCTTGTCCTCTAGAGTAATTTTTTTTAATAGATCTTTATTGGAGTATAATTGCTTCACAGTACTGTGTTAGTTTCTGTTGCACAACCAAGCAAATCAGCCATATGCATACACATGTCCCCATATCCCCTCCCTCTAGGTAGCCTCCCTCCCATCCTCCCTATCCCATCCCGTTAGGTCATCATCACAAAGCACTGAGCCGATATTCCTGTGCTGTGCTGCTGCTTCCCACCAGCCAACTGTTTTACATTCAGTAGTGTATATATGTCGATGCTACTCTCACTTCGTCCCAGCTTCGCCCTCCCACCCGTGTCCTCAAGTCCATTCTCTATGTCTACCTCTTTATTCCTGCCCTGCAACTAGGTTCATCAGTACCATTTTTTTTTCTTTAGATTCTATATATATGCGTTAGCATATGGTATTAGTTTTCTCTTTCTGACTTACTTCACTCTGTATGACAGACTCTAGGTCCATCCACCTCACTACAAGTAACTCAGTTTTGTTTCTTTTTATGGCTGAGTAATATTCCATTGTATATATGTGCCACATCTTCTTTATCCATTCATCTGTCAGTGGACATTTAGGTTGGTTCCATGTCTTGGTTATTGTAAATAGTGCTGCAGTGAACATTGTGTGGTACATGTCTCTTTGAATTATCGTTTTCTCAGGGTATATGCCCAGTAGTGGGATTGCTGGGTCATATGGTAGTTCTGTTTTTAGTTTAAGGAACCTCCATACTGTTTTCCATAGTGGTTTTATCAATTTACATTCCCATGAACAGTGCAGGAGGGTTCCCTTTTCACCACACCCTTTCCGGCATTTATAGTTTCTAGATTTTTTGATAATGGCCATTCTGACCAGCGTGAAGTGATACCTCATTGTAGGTTTGATTTGCATTTCTCTAATAATTAGTGATGTTGAGCATCTTTTCATGTGCCTCTTGGCTATCTGTATGTCTTCCTTGGTGAAATGTCTATTTAGGTCTTCCACCCATTTTTTAACTGGATTGTTCATTTTTTGGTATTGAGCTTCATGAGCAGTTTATATATTTTGGAGATTAATCCTTTGTTGTTGCATTTGCAAATATTTTCTCCCGTTCTGAGGTTGTCTTTTTGTCTTGTTTATGGTTTCCTTTTCTGTGTAAAAGCTTTTAAGTTTAATTAAGTCCCATTTGTTTATTTTTGTTTTTATTTCCGTTACTCTAGGAGGTGGGTCAAAAAAGATCCTGCTGTGGTTTATGTCAAAGAGCATTTTTCCTGTGTTTTCCTCTAAGAGTTTTATAGTGTCTGGCCTTACATTTAGGTCTTTAATCCATTTGGAGTTTATTTTTGTGTATGGTGTTAGGTAGTGTTCTAATTTCATTCTTTTATATGTAGCTATCAAGTTTTCCCAGCACCACTTATCGAAGAGGCTGTCTTTTCTTCACTATATGTTCTTGCCTCCTTTGTCGTAAATTAGGTGCCCATATGTGCGTAGGTTTATCTCTGGGCATTCTGTCCTGTACCATTGATCCATATTTCTGTTTTTGTGCCAGTACCATACTGTCTTGATTACGGTAGCTTTGTGGTATAGTTTGAAGTCAGGGAGCCTGATTCCTCCAACTCCGTTTTTCTTTCTCAAGATTGCTTTGTCTATTTGGGGTCTTTTGTGTTTCCATATGAATTGTAAACTTTTTTGTTCTAATTCTGTGAAGACTGCCATTGATAGTTTGATAGAGATTGCATTGAATCTGTAGATTGCTTTGGGTAGTATAGTCATTTTCACATTATTGATTCTTCCAATCCAAGACCATGGTATATTTCTCCATCTGTTTGTCATCTTTGATTTCTCTCGTCAGTGTTTTATAGTTTTCTGAGTACAAGTCTTTCGCCTCCTTAGGCAGGTTTATTCCTAGGTGTTTTATTCTTTTTGTTGCAGTGGTAAATGGGAGTGTTTCCTTAATTTCTCTTTCTGGTTTTTCGTTGTTGGTGTGTAGGGATGCCAGAGATTTCTGTGCATTAATTTTGTATCCTGCAACCTTACCAGATTCATTGATTAGTTCTAGTAGTTTTCTGGTGGCATCTTTAGGATTTTCTATGTATAGTATTATGTCATCAGCAAACAGTAACAGTTTTACTTCTTCTTTTCCAATTTTTATGCCTTTTATTTCTTTTTCTTCTCTGATTACTGTGTCCAGGACTTCCAAAACTATGTTGAATAAGAGTGGTGAGAGTGGACATCCTTGTCTTGTTCCTGATCTTAGTGGAAATGCTTTCAGTTTTTCACCATTGAGTATGATGCTTGCTGTGGGTTTGTCATTTATGGCCTTTATTATGTTGAGGTAGGTTCCCTCTGTGCCCTTTTTCTGGAGAGTTTTTATCATAAATGGGTGTTGAATTTTGTCAAAAGCTTTTTCTGCATCTATTGAGATGATCATATGGTTTTTATTACTTAATTTGTTAATATGGTGTATCACCCTGATTGATTTGTATATATTGAAGAATCCTTGCAAAAAAAAAAAAAGAACGATAACAAAGTAAAAAAATAAAATTAGTCTAGGAAACTAACAGATATGTTAGAAGGAATATAAAAATAAAAGTATAGATAAAGCAACAACCAGAAGGTAGGTCAGTACCACAATAGTAAAAGAAAAAAGAGGAGGAGGGAAAAGAAAAAACAATAAAAGAGGGGGTTGGGAAGGCCTTGGCTGTGGAGGGTGGGGCCTAAGCAAGGGTGAGGTTTGGGCAGTGGGCGGGGCCAATGCTCAGGACCCACAGGGCTGGAAAAGGCTGTGAGGGGTGAGGCTTAGGCTCAAGGAACAGAAGGGGCCCAGGCGTGCCCCCCGCCCCTGGTCTCAGCTGTCAGGGGACCTCACCTGGGAGCCCAGCAGGCTCCCCGTGCCTGAGTGGGCGGGGCAATCGCCCTCCGCTCCTCTCCTGCTCCTCCCGGAGGGCCCCTCCCACCTGCCTCTCCTGATCTCCCCGGCCTCCCTCCTATTACCCCCAGCACCCACGCGGCCTGGAGGGGGCTTTGGAGTGGGGGATACCGGCTTGGGAGCTCAGCAGGCTCCCCGGCCCGTGTGGGCCAGGCGATCGCCCTCCGCTTCTCTCCCCTCCCGCTCTTCCTGGAGAGTCCCTCCCGCCTGCCTCTCCTGATCTCCCCGGCCTCGGGGGCGCCGATCCTGTCTGGCCTCCACTTCTCCTCCCGCCTCAGTCCCCCTACGTCCTACTTGTTCACTTTGGGGTTCCTCCCGTCTCCTTGGGTGTCAGAGCCCCCCACCAGCGGCCGGCAGGTGCTTTAGTGGGGAGGTGCTAACTCCGCGTCTTCCCACACCGCCATCTTCAGGAGAAGTTTTCTAGAGTAATTGACATTATAGATGTCTTTGGGTGTTTTTCTCCCTTTCAGCTAAATTTTATTTTAAAGCATATTTTATCATGTCTTGTCAAACATTTTCTTTCTGTGTTTTGATACCTCATCTTTTACCAGGGGGCCTGCGGAACAATAATTGAAACCTCTTTGCTTGCCGACTACCTTATTTTTTTTTTAAGATATTTAAAGAACAAATATGTAAAGATTATTATTTTTAAAGCTAAATTTTTGTAATGTCTCTTGGACCAACTTTTATCAGAAATAGCATACAATACTATTTTAGTGGTTGTACGGTTCTCTAGTACAATAGTATAAATATCTTCCTTGGTCTTCAGAACTCTGAAGTGTTTTAAAACACTGTGGAAGTGCTCATGTTTTTAAAAGCTGCAGAAGCTGCCCTTCTCTGAGTTCCTACCTCAAGACACAAAACCCACATACTCACAAAACATTTAACATACAAACATATATTCCAGGAAGCCTTGTTTTTTTCACTTTTAGCTTAAGTCAGGAATTAACAGTTATATATATTTACTAGAATTGGTTTTAACAGAAATATATATTTCCAGTACATGGTAAATAGGTCAATATAACACATGTATATAGATGTTTAATTACAATTAAATCTGGTTAAGTATAAATTAATATAAATTTTAATCTCCCACCTGGTTAAACATACTCATTTTGTTCTTTTCCCCCTGAAATGCTGCTTAATTGACAGCAGAGAGGGTTTTTTAAAAAGACAAAAACTGCAAGGAATAAGAAAATGGGAGAAGAGGTGACCCTTGCCAATGTTTGGAGACCAGAATTCAGACAAACATTTAGTAATTTTAGCAACCCTGAGAAAACCGGAGGAGGACCTGATTTATGTCTCAGAATCCCCAGCAGGCTTCATAATTGCCAGCTCCAGGTACTTCTGGAAGTGGAAGTGAAAACTAAAAACAGTAGAAGTGCTTGAAAGTCTGTTGTAGAAGTAGTTAGAGTCCCTGAGTTCCCCCACCTGCTCCCCACCCCTGCACGAGACGGGGGCAGGGTGTGGGTTACTGTTTGGAGAGGATGAAACAGAAGGCCGGTGGGCTGGAGTGGACACAGACCTGCGGAGGAAAGCACAGAGGGAGTGAATGTCCTGAATTTGGGGCAGCCCCGCCTTTCCCTCCGCTCGGCTCCCAGAACAAAACACCGGCATCCGGACGCTTGTTCTCCTGACAGGAGCTCAGAAGAGTCTTCTCTAGGAATCTGACCAGCCCAAGAAAATACCCCCAAACTCCTGACTTCAAGGGAAGCCCAGTGAAACCAGCCAGATCACTCTACAGTGAAGACAGAGCTTGAAGCCCCACGTCTGCACATAGCGCTTTCCATCAGCTTTCTCATGTCTTCTTTCAAATATGAGTGAGGAGAGGAGCTAGGAGATAACATGGAAAATAAGAACAAGTAGAGAAAGCAATTTGTGAGAAACAAGACTATACAGCAAGAAGAAAACGGAAGAGCTATTGCTGGTGTCTTCAGAGGGATAAAAAGAGATATTGTGTCCATAAAACAAGTATAGGATGCTATAAAAGGAACATTAGAGAACAATAGAGCTTATGAATATAAAAAATGATAATAGAAATGAAAAGTACTAGAGGAGGGTTTGAAAATAACAAGTGAAGACATTTCCCAGAAAATAGATTGTGAAGTCAAAACTCAAATCAATGAGTTTTTATGATTGAAAATATCCATCAAGTGCCCAAACCTGTGGCTAAAAATAGATCCAAGCCAAGCACAGAAATTGCAAGTTTCAAAACTTGAAGATAGAAGCTCCTATAAGCTTCTAGAGAGGAAAGAATAGATTTCATATAAAGAAGAAAGAATTAGAATGGCAACACTGGAAGCTAGAAGACAGTGAAGGCGGTGCCTTTTGAGCAAAAATATTTTCTGACTTAGAATTCTAAAATAGCCAAATAGCTAAGAAAGAAGATAGATTTATCAGACATTCAAAGTGTCACAAAATTTATCTCCCACACGCCCTTTCACAGGAGCTACTGGAGGACAAGCTCCTCCAGAACAAGGGAATAAGCCAAGAAAGATGTGAGATGCAGGAGAGAGGGGACCCAAGCAAAGGAAGGCCTAGCCGATGGTGAAGGGAGACCCCCGAGACCCCCGCTGAGTAGCGGGTCCAAAAGCTCTGGAAGCCAGGTCTGCAGGGAGGGTGCCGGTTCTGTTAGAATAGCACCAGGAGAGGTTGATGCAACTTAAAGTGAGTTTGGATTGAATTAGTGACACATATGTAGAAAATGAAGGAAATCAAGAAACAAGGCAATGATAAGCCCCAAGGAAAACAAGAACATTGTGCTAGAAAGAAGAAAGGGAGCATAGTGAACTGCATGGCTCAGCTGTGAAGAGTCTTAGGAACACAAACTCCAAAACGCTGTCCATCCAAAATGAAAGTCTAACTGTACTGGCAGGATGGGAGGGAGAGGAGGGGGTGGGAGGAGGGAGAGGAGGGGGTGTGGATGGAGAGAAGCCTTTCATTGCGCACCATTTCATATTGTTTTCATTTTTGAACCATGGAAATGGCTTTCCTAAGTCAAAAGTTTTTTTAAAGAGAATTATTTTACCATTTGTCATAGGCTTTTTGACAACCGATTTCCATAAAAATGTGCTTTCTTCCCCTCTTCTTCCTCTTCAGAAATTAAAACACAGAGCACGGGGTTGTTCACCTGATATCAGACAAATAGACCTTGATGTCAACCGCACCTTTAGGGACCATATCATGTTTAGAGACAGATATGGTGTGAAGTAAGTAAAGTTTAGTATTATGAACTATGAATAGCATGTACAAATAGTCTTTATCAATTTGAAATGTCAATGTTTGGAATGTCTTGTATAGACGATAATTTTGATTCCAATTCTGAGGGTTTAAGTTTTGGTGGATCATTTGTTCCATATTGTGTACAACTCAGGAGCTAATTTAACTTAAATTTTTAACCTTTGACATAGTAGGTGCTATAAAATTGCTATAAATCATTTTATGATCTGGGAATTCTTAAATATATGGTAGATACTTTTATTAAAAGTGTTATCAAAGAAATGAGAGATTGTGTTACTTTTTGAGAGCCGTGTCATCAATAAATATATTCTTAGACCCTTGACTCCGTGCAAAGGTGAAACTAAAAAAATGGGAAATACGCAAATGAAATGACTGTGACAGTTTAGGAATGGAAGGTACAGTTTTGCTGACCTCCTATCAGTTAAGGTTCAACCAGAGAAAAAGAAACCAGTAAGAGATGTAAGCTAAGGGATTTATCGTGGGGAATTGGCTTACACAGTTGCAGGAACTGACTAGGCAAGTTCAAGATCTGTAGGGCGGGCCGTCAGGAAGGGCAGCTGGAACTCTCGGGTGGGCGCGAGTGAAGCCACGGTCCACAGGAGGAGTCCCTCCTTCAGGGAACCCTCGGATCTGCTCTTCCAGCCTTTTGACTGCTTGACCCAGGGCTTCCCAAATTATCTAGGGTACTCTCCCCTACTTCAAGGCAATTGACTGTGTACTTCAATGACATTTACAAAGCACCTACATTAGGGTTTGAATAACTGGGGGTTGTAGCCCGGCCAAGTGGACACGTAAAGCTAACCATCACAGTCCACCCTCGTCAACTTAATTTCCGCATAAAGACGATAAAGGCATGCTCTGCCTGACATGGTACAGCTATTCTACTTACGACTGAAAGTATGCTAACCCCCTCCGCACGAAAAGATGCAGCGCCCTTGGACAGTGTTTACTCTTTTTGCGTTGATATGTGTAACCTAAATTCTGTGATATAAAGTCAACTATTATTAAACATCTTATGTTAGATGATAAGGAAAAGAGAAGGAAGAAGACACATTAAAATATATACACAAACATATTGATATCAAAATAAGGAAATGCTCAAAACAGATATAGTCAGCAGTTCTGCGACTGGGCATATGGTCACTGCTGGTTGGTTACTTACCTTCCCACTGCCTACCCCATATTCCCTTTGCCCTCAGCAAGTGCCTCGGCTGGCTGTGGTTCTTTGCCTGGTGGGGGGACCTAAACCTTTATTCCTGAAGAGTCTGGACTATCAGCAGTCCTGCCTGAATTTGCTTGTGGAGGTTATCTGTTGACTTTAATCACAGGGTTTGGTTATACTCAGAGGCACCTTAAGTGTCTCCTGTGTTCTAGACGTGCTCCTGCTTACGTCCACTGTGTCCTAGCACCCCCTCCCCTTAGTGGTCGGGAGCAGTCCCTCCAGCCGGTACAGTCGCCTCCTTCTTTGCCTGTTGATTTGGGGGCATGAGGAGCCCAGAGTGGCCGGGTGGCCGTCTCGGCTTCCAGTTCAGTGGAATCATTATGTCTCCTGGTGGGGATATTCCTCTCTTTGGAGCCAGGACCTCTAGAGCAGCAGAGCCAAGCATGTTGTTAGTGGACCCGAGAGGTAACGGTGTGTGGAGCCACTCCCGTTCCCACCCCTGGATCCTGGGAGAGGCAGCGCTGGTGCTGGAGGCTGATTTCGGGTGTACACCGCCTCCTGGGGGACATGCCCCCCGCCCCCCGCAAGGTACTTCTCGGAGCTGGCAGTGTGAGTGAGTCTTCAGAAGGCCGGTCTGCAGCTCCGTCCATCCGGCTCCTTCTATGGGGATGATTCTATAGTGAGAGTAGTTCAGTGAAAGAGGGGAACAAATTGAAGAAACTGTGAAGCCCTTTGTGCTTTTTGCTATAAATCCTTTCTGTCAAATTTAGCCTCAAGTTCAGACTGTATTGTTTAAATTTGAGCTCGGGGATCATTTCCTTATTACAGTAGTAGTTTTATCTGCATTATCTGTTTATCTTCAAACTGTTGTTTATTTTTTTACGTTTATAATTTTAAAAATATGTGAAAAAAACTAAATTGTGTTCAATGTAAATTTCTTTTTCTAGGCAGCAATCCCTGTTCCACGTTCTTGCTGCATATTCTATCTACAATACGGTAAGTTGGAGCACGCCTGCCCACAGCTTTTTGAGTTGTGCTCTGAGCACCTGGAGGAGATCTTTGGGCCTCCCTCCTGACAAGGCCCTTTTGGCCTGCATTGCTTCATCTCAGGACTGGATGGTCTCCAGGTCTCTCTGGATCTTCCTGAGGCTCCCGTGGCCCCCCTGGCGTCTTAGAGCAGAGCTGGTTGGGAAGTGGAAAAACCACAGTATGACAGCGAAGCTCACTTTCCCCCTTTCTCCAGACTGTTTTGTTACGTTTTGTGTTGTTGTTTGTCTTGTTTTTACTTTAAGCAGGTAGGACTGGAATGAGCAGGCTAGGAGGACAGGAAGTGGTAGCTAGGTTAATTTCCGCCTGACTCTTGGTGACTCCTCGTTGCCCTGGGAGGTTGCCTTTCAGGATCACATCTCGTTTATTCAGTGAGGTCCAGGTGGGAGACCATATGTACCTACTTGCTGTCTCCTGGAGTGGGCCAAAACGAAGCCTTTAGGTATTAGAACATGTTATTCTTAAGGCATTGATTACTCTGGGGGGAGAAAGATTTGGGGGGAAAGATCAACTAGTGTCGAAACCAGTGTAGATGCCAAATAAATGCTTGTCGACTAGATTCCAGGAAGGACACCTTGAACCTTGGGGTATATCATTTCTGTTATAGTCAAAACCTTTAAGTTACAAGGGACAGAAATTCACTCAAACAAGGGCAAGTTAAAAAGGGATTGATTAAAGGGACTTCTCACAGAAATGAAGCTCAGGGGGTTGGAGCTGGAGAGTGAGAAGCCTCCAGTGAGAAGAGCTTCCCTTTCTCTCTCTTCCACTCTGTGGCCATGTGGTAACTCTGATTGTCTCTGGGAACTGTTCGTTCCACTGGTTCTCTCTCCAGATTGCTTTCTTTGTCTGCTTATCTATTTTTCCACGGCTAATATTGCACCCATGGACTCACCATGACCATTCTGTTCAAGTACATACCACCATCGGATTGCAGTCTCTGTGGCTTTATCCAGTTTTCTTAGAGAAATTAGTAAATTAGTCTTGCAGCCAGTTAATGGTTCCCTGGGGCCAGGTGTCCTCTGCTCCATCAGCTTTGGTTCACGTGGCACAGACATGAATCTCTAAGGCCATGTTATAAGCAGGGATTATGGGGAGAGTGGGCAGTTCTCAGGGAAGGAGCATAGGCTGGATAGTACCCCGCAATGTGTCCGTATAAGGGTCCGGAAGTGTAGAGGAGAAAAGACAGCAAGTTTGGGAACTAAATTTGGGAGCAAAGAAGAGGACTATTGAGCTGAGAATCACACACAAAACAGAAAAATAAACAGCCTTTACAGAAGGTGTAATGGTACTTACTGAACAGGGCTCAGTAAAATCCACGTAGGTTAGACTTGCCTGTACTTCTTCGTTTATTCTCCAGTACCAGGTGCATTCTTTGATAGTATGTGGCTCAGTGCTGTTGAGATTGTAACATTTCTCTATAGAATTGCCATTAAATAATGTGTTTAGGCATTTTCTGATTATTTTCTACATCAGTTTTTTATATGTGCATGTACATGTAGTTCGATCTGAAAACCCCCAGTTTCTCTGTTCTCGTTTTCTCTTTAGGAAGTTGGATACTGTCAGGGGATGAGCCAGATCACAGCCTTACTCCTCATGTATATGAATGAAGAAGACGCCTTCTGGGCCCTGGTCAAACTGTTCTCGGGCCCCAAACATGCTATGCATGGTAAGAAAACCCCATAGTTGATCATCAGCAACAAACACGGGAGGGAGAAAAAGGCAAATTCAAACAAAGTCAGACTTTGGAAGATGATCGGTAGGGTTAAGTACAAAAAAATGTTTAGGGGCTTCTTTAATTCATTAGTGTTTGTTACTAGTTTCTCATTTAATTCTTCTCTATTTCTAAACTTTTCTGTTCACGTTTATATTCCTTCGTGTTTACTACAGAGTATGCTGTTGACATTTTAAAACTCTTTCATTACTTGGCCCAGTCAGGAGAAACTAATTTAGGTTTAGAAGAATTTAGGAAAAAACTGAATTATTGAGAGCTTTTGTTCAGAACTTTTGGACAGTCGTGCATTCAGTGAGATGTCTCCTATTGACTGGATGTTGTGATGTCTGTTTCTTTGTCAAAGAGTATTAATTGAGAAATGACACTTAGGTGTTTAAAGGAAAGGTACACCATAATTAAGTAGTTTTGTATTTCATGTGTGTGTTTCAGTTGTTTCAGCCGTAAAGTTGAGTCCATTTTACAGTAAAAAGGCTGATAACATATTCTGGCCACTTTATTATTTAATATTTCAAAACTTGCATAATTTTTTGGTTTTCAAGTTAGAAGGAGGTTTTTAATAACGTTTTCGTTATATTTGCCAAGCATATGCAGTAAACTTTACTTGTGAGAGTTTGGATTGCAGCTTCTCTTGGAAATGAAAGTGGCATTTGTCCGTATAATGCAAAATTATTTTCCCAGTGCCACTGCGTGTGATAATACTAAATTAAAAACAATTTTAACACTAATCACTCTGAGAATGGACCATCTTAGTTCTGTTTGTGAATGTTAAAGCTTTACGTGGTAGGGAACCTGCCACATATTAAAGTAATATTTTAAATTTTCAAAAGTATGACCTTCCATAGACCATAGTTTATTAAATCTCACGTTCTTACCATGTGGTTATTGTGGGGGCATTGTGTGTGTGTGTGTGTGTGTGTGTCTGTCTGTCTGTCTGTCTGTCTGTCTGTCTGTTTCTCCCTCAGTGTTCCCTGTGAATCTTTTAAAAAATAAATACTATCTGCATGATAACTGTTTCTGGTCACTTTGCATCCCATAAAGAGACTCCAGTAGTAAGACACGTTATATTGAGCTGCCATCCGATAGACAGTATCATTTCAAAAGACATCTTGAAGAAGAATAACTCTTCTTTATCAGTCTTCATTTTGCTTTACCCTGAGATGGTGTTGCTGATATATCTTGAAGTACAGTGGAATGTTACGGTTTAAGTAGTACGTAATTATGTGGAATACCGCCCAATTTTAGAAAATTCATTCTTTTAAACAAACCTGATAGCTTGCTTTCAGTAATTATTGTCACCAGTCTAATCTATAAAGCAGTATTAATTTTACTATCCTAACATTTACATTACCAAAGCAGTTTAGGTCATTATTATGGGTAAGTTTGTACTTAGAGATATTTGTTTCAAGGTCTGCCTGTGAAATTATATAACTGAAGGTTACCTCAGTTCTTTGCATTTCCTGTATGAAAGTGGTATCACTTACAAATGTGTAGAATAAAGTGAGGGCTGAAGAAAATGAGATTTAAAATATCAAGTCTGGGACACCACTGAAAAGTGAAGCAGAGTTGGGTATCTTAGCACCCTTGGGCACTTGTGTATTACTGAAGGGATTGCCTTTTTCAAAATCAGACTTTTTATTGAAATTCTTCCAACTCCCATTCCTATCAAATTGACCATGAAAGTGGCACAGAAAGAGAGACATGGATTTTTTATGGACTCACTTCACTGGACAGTGTTACGAAGGGAGGAAGTTGCTGTCTGGGAAGTTCTACACGCGCCTTAGAAAGCGGAGAATTAGCTAAGAAGTAGCCCTTCCCTGAAGATTATAAAGCTGTGTTTCCCAGCAGTGTGTTCTTTGGGTTCTTGGAGGGACATAGTTTCACTTTTTGGAAACAGGTGTGCTGTGCGGAAAAATGGACTCCAAGAGCCAGTAAGGCTGGGAGATGAGCTAAACGAAGAAAACCAGGTTTCTTTAGTCCATAAAGCAACTTAGAAACATTCAGAAGTTCATATGCCTCATGAACATAGGCAAGAAGGGTACATATAACACACAGTATTTCTCCTGGATTCTTTCAAAAACAGAACATTTAGTAACATCTTTCGAAGTTAAGTAGAACCCAGGTTGGAAAACACTAATGTGGATAAATGATAAATTCATTGTGTATGCATCCTTTTTAACAGATTATATAGAATATCTGAAAGGAAATTTTTTAATGAAAATAGATGTAAAGTTTCATGACTTAAATACACAAAATGAATACTAACTTCCCATTTACAGTTACTTCCTAGAAATCTTATAGATTATATTGTATAATCAGTTGGGATAGAATATATTAACATCGATCATATAGTGCCTGTATGTTTTAGCTGATGTCAAGTATCACTTATAGAAAGGATTAAAAAGTGATAATAACCTTGGCTTGGTATTGGAGTAAGCCTGAAAAGGGTAATAAAATGTTTGTTATGTAATGTATTAATGGTAAAACAAAATAAGTAATCAAGATTAGAATAACTTATAAAAATGTGTACGTATAAGACATGACCCAGTACTTCAAGAGAACAGATAATTTTGATAAATGGCCTCAGTTTCCATTTTTTCTTAGTTTCCCTTTTAATTCAGAAATATTCTGTCCTCTTTTATACTTTTACAAGGATATAGAAGATCCTTAGCAAACACATACTAGACTGTAAGTTTCATTAACCAATGCTTATACACAATTGTTTCCTTGGAGGGGAGGAAAAATTTTTGGGTGATTACTGGATTCGTTGTTCTTGTTGTTGTTGACAGTTAAAAGATGAAAGAAGTATGTTGCACTTTAAAATAGAGATTTCTGTTGGTATTGTTTATGAAGTATTGTTTTTATGTTTATATTCTAGGATTTTTTGTCCATGGTTTTCCCAAACTCTTGAGGTTTCAAGAACATCATGAAAAAATACTGAATAAATTTTTGTCCAAGCTTAAGCAGCACTTGGTAGGTAGATGTGACATTGACTTACACCCACCTACACCAAGAATAAAGCTAGAGGACTTGAGTGCAGCCATTGGTCCCAATTACCCTATTGATTTATAGTCTTGTCCATGTCATTTACTGAACAGTTGTTAATTCCCAGTTGTTCAAAGGACGTTAGATTTGTGAAGTTTAGTATGGATGAACTATCACAGCCCTAACTCATAGAATCAAACTTTGAAGCTGATATATACGAACAATATAGTTTTTAAGGATGTGTGATTTCTCAGTGATTTGGGAGGTTTTTTAATCACACTAAAATATTTTAAGAGTCATACAAACTCATCCTCAGTGAACCATATACATGCTGTCCTGTAAAACACAGTAATTTAGTAAAGCAAGGATACATCCCTTTAGAATATATTAAAGAGAAGCAAAGTGTTGTATTACAGTCCTATCTTATGAAGGGTTTATTCTCAGGGTGATTTTCAAAAGTAAAATTGAGGGAGAAGAGGGAGTCAGGAGAGAAGAAGTGGAACTACTCCAGCACGAAAGAGATTTGTAATGAATGGTTTTGTTTAGCTGTGACAGCTACCTCCAAAAACCTGCCTAACTTTTAGTAGTATATTGTCATATTTTGTGTGCTGCAATCCAGAAGTTGTGAAGTCTTTGTTTTTTCCAGGATTCTCAAGAAATCTACACAAGTTTTTACACAATGAAATGGTTTTTTCAATGTTTCCTTGATCGGGTGAGTATTTATTTACAAAGCCCAATCATAAAATTACAAATTCCAGCCAAGGGCAAACTGTTAATCTTATTTCTGTTTTGTTTTAATTGTAGACTCCCTTTACACTAAACCTCAGAATATGGGACATCTATATCTTTGAAGGAGAACGAATTCTTACTGCTATGTCTTACACAATCTTAAAATTACACAGAAGTAAGAAAATGTTTTAATTATGAAGATTTCACAAAAACCTAGCCTTGTTTTAACTTTGATTTCTCATTGCCCACCCAAATTCAAATTCATTTTCTTTCAGTAATGAGTTTAAAAAATTCTTGGGAATCAGTGAAATTATCTTCAGTTGGCACTTTACTTTCATTGGTTCTTCCTCATGACCAGAAGCTTACTACATTGGAAAACGTCTTTGATTTTTTTCTCTATGTCATTTTCATCTTCACACTTCAGTAGAATGCAGTGTATATGTTTCACTAATAATAATATTCCTGTTAGTTATTTGTTTCCAGGGGGGATCCCTTATTTCTTTTCATTGGTCTGAATCTCAGGTTTGTAGTAGGAAAAGGGAGAGACTAAAGAAGCCAGGCCCCTTAGCTAAAAGGGCTAGTGAGGACGTTTTCCTTTACTGTGTCCTTCACCCAGGAAAAAAGCATCCAGCCCCACGCCGTAGACCAGAGTTGGGGAACCTCCAGCGCATCTCCCTGTTTGGCTGCTTTGTGGCCTCTGAAGCAAGTACAGTCCATGTCCACAGTTGCCCAAATGTAACACAAGGCTTTTAAAAGCCTTCAGTTGCAATATTTCAAGGGCTCTGTATATTTGATATGCTGTGCCTTAAGTCAAGGAATTCCTTAAGTCAAGGAATGAGAGTTTCTCTTTATGAATATGAAGAACGTTTTTCATCTTAAAGTCTCAACCCAACCTTAAAACTTTGGTGACTCGTCTTGTAACAATGCAGAGAAGAGAGTCACTGGAAGCTTTGGAACCTCACACAACACTTCCAGCCTAGGGCACAGCCTAGGTTCACGTTCATTGTATACTCTGCATCCTATCTGGTTCTTGAATGATCATCTCTTCAGTTGCCCCCATAACTTATAAGCTAATTGAGTGCTTGGGGTCATGTTTTATAGTCTTTCTCCCTGCTGTGCTTGGCTTTGTTCTAAGAATGTGTTAGGTGCTTTGATATGAGATTGCTTACTTGAAAAGCGTGGCCTTCAGGAGCACCAGATTATCCAAATTCTAGGTTGGAATGAAACTTTGAAATCACGACTGTATAGTTTACTCTGAAAGAAGAGGATTCAGAAGTGTTGTGGTCCATTTCCCTCCCTCCCCCAACACGCAAACCACAACACCAAGATGAAACAATTTGGCAATGAATTATCTCCCAAGACTCGGGGTCTATCATAACCACAGGAAATCAATCAGTCTCTCCTCTCACCCCCTTTACTTCTTTTCTCTCTTTCTGGATTATGAACTGACAAAAATGTAGAGCAAAAGTATACTCTTAGTATACTAAACATCATTAGTTTACATTAGTTAGTTTAAACATTAGTTTAATGTTCCCTAAGCAGTGAGAAAGTAAAAACATGATGTTATATTTCCCTGTAGCTCTCTTCCTCCTCTTAAATTATGTTTTACTTCAGACTCTTACTTAACTTTGACAAGTAAAAAGTTTCTCTACCTTTTGTAAATAAACTTTAAGCATAACAGTTAGTTTATATCCTACCATGTCATTAGATTAAATAAGCTGTGGAAAACCTTTGTCTGCTGCTGTGTATTTTTTCTTGTTAGGAAGACACAGCTCAAGGACTTACATGAAGTTCCTTCACCATATAAACCTTCAAAAACTGGACCAATAGTTAGCTGAAGCTCATAAGATTTTTTTCTTGTTTTTTTTCCCTGATGGCCTTACCAATATTTAGAGACATTGTTACTAAAAAAAAAAAAAAAATAATCACACAGTGATTTTAAACGGTAAAAAAAAATTAGAAGCCACCTAAATGCCCAATATTAGAAGACCAATTAAGTAAAGTATAGAGTGTACAATACAATGGACTCTTATATAGTTAATGATGGTGGTATAAAATGTTTGTTGAAGTGAGAGGTATCAGTGATGTACGCCATCGAGTGGGGGAAAAACAAGGAGGTGAATAACATGGAGAGTATCATTTATTTTTGTAAATTGATACACATGTACATACATCTGCTTGTAGGTCATTGGCTAGTGGATTTTAGCTGATTTTTACTTTCTGCTTTGTATCTGTAATTTGAATTTTTTCATAAGTAGAAATACAAATAAAATTAATAATCCAGATTTTTGAGAAATTCTGAGACAGTTAAAATACAGACCTAGAAGTGGATGTGCCTATAACAGTTGGAGCTCCATATCAGTGAAACAGAAAGCGCACATGTCATCCTGGGTGGCTCTGGGGGAATATTAATACCCAGGTCCGGTTATTCTTACACCAACGAGAACATATTTAGCAGCATTCGCCTCTCCCCAAGCCCCCAGGGGTACCTGCTTTTCTCTGTGACTGCTTTAATATCAGAAAAGATGTTCGTCTTACTCAGTTTCGGTGAAATTCACAAGGCCATGTATAAATTGTATGCTGTGCCCTTTTAAAAACATACATCACAATAGAATACATTATATTCTCAACCTAAAGTAGCTGTTGTTTACCTTTTCCTCCTTTCTCAGAACATCTTATGAAATTGTCTATGGAAGAACTTGTGGAATTTCTTCAGGAGACCTTGGCAAAGGATTTTTTCTTCGAAGACGACTTTGTAATAGAGCAGCTCCAGATTTCTATGGTAGAACTAAAGCGGGCAAAGTTAGACCTTCCAGAACCTGGTAAGGAAATAGCCAGACTCTTTATGTGTAACTTACAATTAAGATTGGAAGACACGGTGCAGTTAACATGGGCCATTTCTGTTTGAAAACAGCAGCATACTTGTGATGACATCATGTAAATCAGATTTCTTAAAATCTTCGATTTTAAGAAAAATTGAATAAACATATTAATTAAATCTGCCTCTCCTAATAGAGTCCCTACTTAAATTTAGGAAGTTTGATATACAAATAATGTTATTTCAACAGAAGTGACCATGGTGCTTTAAGCTACCATAACAGTAAGCGCTTTTTACTTTCGTCATCTCGTTTTGTGGAACCATACGCAGTAACAGAGCAAGTAAAAGTCCCATTTTCTAGAAGAGGAAACTGATACTAAAATGCTAACTCTGAAGCTGCAGAACCTGCAGACACAGCATTACTGCTGCCACTAGAGTCAGAGTTTCCTGACTGCTGATCCAGGGCTCTTGGCAGTATGTTGCAGTATATATATATATATATATATTTTTTTTTTTTGGGTACGCGGGCCTCTCACTGCCGTGGCCTCTCCCGTCGCGGAGCACAGGCTCCGGATGCGCAGGCCCAGCGGCCATGGCTCACGGGCCCAGCTGCTCCACGGCACGCGGGATCCCCCCGGACCGGGGCACGAGCCCGTGTCCCCTGCATTGGCAGGCGGAGTCCCAACCACTGTGCCACCAGGGAAGCCCTAAATAATACATTTTATTCATTTATTTCAAAACATCTTCCAGGACCACCTGTTAGGTTTTCTGCTAGGTGCTCTGTTGGGGATTTAACTGAAAAGAATGACGTGCTTCTTGCTCTCAGGGTGCAGAGAGGAGAGACAGAATTTACACAATAATAGAGTGTGAATAGGGTCATAATAGAGCTAGAAACAGGATAAATGGGGGAAGATGGTTGGAGGGTGATACCGGGTGAGTGGAACAGAAAAAAAGAAAATGTGGAGAGAGCACAGTAGAAAGAAGTTTTAAGAGCACACCTTTGCTAAAAACCGAGATGCTCTGCTTTTAGTTATTTAATTGCAAGGGGTCTAATCCGTGTTCTTCGAGGTTTGTTCTGGGTCTTCAGGATTCACTAGAAAACAAGCCGTCACAGCAATAATGGAGTGTGGGCCTGGGCCCTGTGAGACCATCACCTGTGCTCTGGAAGGTCACCCTTCCCTGGTGCAGTGTGATGATGTCCCTTTTCTACTAATTCTTTCCTGTAGCAGGGAATGCATTTGGAACAGCAGTTATTAACTATATTCTTGCTATTTCAACATTTATTTTTAAATGTCTTGCCTACTTTTAAAAAGAGTTTAAGACAAGTTTTAGTAAAAGACACATAAAGAAAAAAATATATGCATGTAATAGAACTATTTGAACACGAGAATAAAATCTCAAAACCTGTGTAATGGAATGGGATGATTTAGCATCTAACTAGCAGCTAGTATGTATTGAATGCTTGCTGTCTGCCACATACCACACGCACTGTCTCATTTAATCCTTAAAATAACTCTAAGAAAAAGTACTCGTCCTCATTTTACACATGAGGAAACCTGGTAGCAGTCGTTCGTAAGATCTTTTACTAGGAAATGGTAGAAAAGGGATGGAGAGTAGTGTGGGGATAAAAGGAGAGGGGTGGATAAATAACAACGGGAACACTGGTTGATGTTGCTCTGCTCATGCTGGCGGTTAAGGGGGAACGTGGTGAGGGGGCTCCGCACCACCCGGGCCTCTGACCTGGTCCACCCTGCTGAGTGCACAGGGCTTGGCTTAAGCCTTGTCTCCTTCCTGAAGACTCGGCCAGTCCCCCACCTCCCCAAAGCCGCAGAGTTTGGTCACCGGTATTTTGTGCTGGAAACGTGCGTGCCCCGTGTGTGCATCTGTCCCCACACTCGCTGGGCGTCACCCCCGTGCCAGTTAGTTTGATGTCTGCACTAGACAGTAAGTTCCTGGAGGACCGTGACCGTGTCTTCGTGTCTCCAGCACCTAGGGCAGTGCCTGGCATAGAGTAGGCATTCAATCGATATTTTTTAATGAACAAATGAAGCTATAATGTATTTTTTAGGATATAAAAACCTATCGTCTACAAAAGGTTAGTGGGAGGCAGTTTTTGGAGGTGATGGAATCTTTCTGTATCTCGATTGCACACACAGACAAGTCAGTTTAGTTATGTGTTCTGTCTCAAGTTTTGAGGGTTTGAGTGCGTTTTCACTTCTATTTGTTTGTATAGTGGAAACTGATGTTACACATGCACAGCAGTTTGTACTGTGTTTGTGACTTGAAACCCTAGGAAACACACAGTACAGGTTTTAAAAATTATTTCACAAAGATCTATTTAATTTATGTGGCATTAAAATAGGTTTATAAAAATAAATGTGTTAAATAATTATGTCCTTTCAGCTTCCCTTATCTTTCAAGTTTAATCTGCTAGAAAGGAAGTCCAGCCTATGAGCCTAACTACAATAAGTTTTTTGGATTTTTTGAAACTATCATAGCTATAATTTTGAAAGCATACTGTATTTCTTTTGATCACCTTGTTGAAAGCTGTAATAGTGTTTGAATTGTATATTCTTCTGGCTTATAGTACATTAAACAGAAATGAAACTGCTCTGTTTTTCAGATATAAATTTGAAATCAGTAATTTTGTGACAATATTTGAAACCTCAAATGGACTTAATATTTAATCTGGAAAAAGGAATAAGATGATTCTGTCCCAGAAGAATTTTCCTGACAGTGGTCCCCACCATTTATCACTGAAAACTGTTAGAACAGTCAGAGTACATGTATTCTGTTGCTGAAGTTTAAAGTAGAAAGTTACTCACAGGGAAGAGCATTGAGAGCACTTTCCTGTAATTACGTATCCTTGGGCGAAGAAAGCTGCTCAGGTCTTCGGAGGCAGTCTGTGAGACTTGTAGTTGCGTGTGGTGTCCACTGGGTGGTGACAGAGACCTGAGTAAGATCAGAGATGGACCAGCCCAGAGGGGCTTGAGACTCTCCCGTATTTCTTCAGGGATGCTTAGGAGTATTCTTTTCGGTGGCTTTTCTTTCTTTTTTTTTTTTCAAGGAAAAAAGTTATTTAAGAAAAAATAATAAGCATTTTTGCGTTTATCCTGAAATATATCAAGCTGTAGTTCCTTTTTTTTTTTTTTGAGCAGAGTAGTCTAATTGTTGGCACTGGCATAAAAATACTCACCATTCACATAATGGAATGCTAGTGAAAAATATCATTTAAACTCCTGGTTTTCAGGGGAAAATGTGCATAATAAATATTAGTACTTATTGCCTGTTTATAGCTATCTCTTTTGACATCAGTTATGCTTGAATCTTTTAGTTACACTCAGTTGCTTAGGGGTGAAGGGAGATACTTAAACCAAACAAAGGCCAAGTATAGCGGTGTGTGTTTTGGGGGACACGTAGTTCGGGGAGGGTAAGGTGAATCTATGAAGAGATTGTACAAGAATGTTTAATGCTTATTTGGACCTACTTTTGTGGGAAAGGGCAAGGGATATTCATTAGCATATGAAAATGTGACGATGGCATATGTACTTCTTGGAGGGTCTGCCTAGTATGGCTTCAGCTCAGGGAAAGTTGAATAACTAATCTTCACGGAAGAATCGCCTTGCAACGAGGTTGGGTAGACTTTTTCTTGATTTTGTACTTACACAAAGAGGTCAGCTCCCCCAGGCGCAGGGCCCTTGGGTTTTGGTGCTGTGGTTGCCGAGACTCAGCCTTGCTCAGTTTTTGAGAAACAGGAGCAGGTCCCTGCTCAGACACACGGGCCCCAGCGGCCTCGGGGGGGGGGGGGGGGGGGGGGGGGGGGCAATGCCCCCCGGGGGGCCCCCCCCCCCCGCCCCCGGCCCTGCTGCCCTCCACACTCCTCCCTTCTGTCTCCCGTCCTCTCCCTCCCCTCCTCCTCCCCCCTCTTTCTCTCTTTTCCCCTCTTTTCCCCTCTGGTCCCTCCTTCCCACCCTCACTCCTCTTGAGAGACAGCCCTTCCCATGGTCACGGTGGCCCTGAGGACCCTTAGAGATGCCAACAGCAAGCGCACATTTGCTCACTCTTGAATCACTGAGGAGCTGCGCTGTTCAGAGGGGTTGGGTCACTTACAGGAATAAACTGGACGTGGCAGAGTCCGTGTGTCATCAGTCAGCAACTGCTGGTGGCCCTACCCTGCTCCCCGGTCCCAGGTCACTATGGACAGTAGGTGTAGCCTGGCACTGTTCCCAGCACTGCAGCCCGGCCCTGGCACCAGGGAATAAGCTTACCCTTACCAAGCAAGGCCTCCTTGCCTAACTTGCATTACTGTCCTTAAAATTGGGAGGAATTAGGTTTCTTAAGCACTTCCATTTTAGAAAGCTCCTTCTTATATCCTTGTCTACTGCCTTTTTCAAATTACTTTCCTTTCTTCCATGCTTATTGATAATCTTTATGGGGGCAAAGAGGCCATATCCTCTAAATGTCTTTGTACAGTCGAGGTATTCACCATGCACCTCTTACAGAATCCTAGTTCCTAGTGAGAGATTGACATTCAGAAATTAATTAGACGCAATGTCCTTTTGTCTGCACTGGATTTTTTTTTTTTTCTCCAAACCCTGCTATATCTAGTTTCATAGCTACGTAGATCTTGGGTATTTATAACCGTTATGTTTTGGTACTATTTGAATGGTATATCGTTACTCTAATTCAGATTAATTACATTTGAATGAGTGGACATTTTGTCAAAACCTTACCTGTAATTCTGTTAATATTTTAGATGCTATAGGAAGGTCTGCAAAATAAGTAGGACTGCACTTTAAGTAGGTTATCTTCTGCTAAGGTGAAAGGGAAATGTATTATGGGCTACCATGAAAGAACTTTAAGAAGCTGCTTTTTTGATATTTTAGAACAGTCACAGATTTTTTTTTTCCTGGTGTGGATTTTGGCCTCTTGACCATTAAGTAAATGGAACATGCTAAAATTTTCTTTTAATTCTAATATAATGTGTAGATGCATAGAATATTAATGTCTCTTCCTTAGAGAAATTCGTGTATTGACTTGAATATAAAGTAGTGTTAAGTGTAAGGTGAGTACTTTTCTTACCCATTATATTGAAAAATTAAAACTCCCTTGTATGGATGACACGTACCTTTCCATTTTGTTTCAGGCATGAAATTACCACCTCAGTCCATTACTTCCTTCTCACTTTTTTATTCCTTCTCCTGAGAAATATGTGCCTTATTTTTGTAATCCTGCCTTTTACCCTGTGTCCTATTAGTCTTTACTGATACGGGCCTTTTATGTATCCAGAGGATTTCAGGATGGAAGTCTATGGACAATAGAATACAGGAACAGGACGTGATGTTCAGTTTTCTCCCCTAGTACCTCTTCCCCGTCACGTTCTCTCTCCCACCACCACTGTAAAGTGTTCTTAAAAAGTTTCTTCCATTGCATCAGTCCCTTATTAAACCCCACTGTACTGCATTTCAGTTACTCCAAACCTAGAATGTTGCTTAAATTCTGGGTACCACACTTACAAAGATGCCCTTTATCTTTATCAGCATCAGTAAGTAGCTACAACTGAATGTCTGCGTTTCCATAGGAAATCACAAGAATCTGTGAAGTAACGGAACTCGAGTTACCCCTGTGGGTCTGTTACTGCCTGTGTCCACCCTCCACACTTATTGTGTTCAGTTGTCTTTTTGACCTGGTTTTGTAAAATTTTTTTTTTTTTTTTCGGTACGCAGGCCTCTCACTGTTGTGGCCTCTCCCGTTGTGGAGCACAGGCTCCGGACACACAGGCTCAGCGGCCATGGCTCACGGGCCCAGCCGCTCCGCGGCACGTGGGATCTTCCCGGACCGGGGCACGAACCCATGTCCCCTGCATCAGCAGGCGAACTCCCAACCACTGCGCCACCAGGGAAGCCCCTAAAATAAGTTTTAATTACTGTAGTTGGTTTCATTACATTGTTGACATTGAAAATGTCCTAGAACCATAAAAGCAGATGATCATAAATAATGAAATATGTGACTTTTCACTAACAGGAAAAGCAATCCATAAAATTTGTGTTTAGTAAAAGCAAATCAGTTTTGAGGTTTAGGATGTAGACCGAAGGGTAGTGTCTTAGTCCGTGCGCGCTGCTACAACAAAAGCGCCACAGACAGTGGCTCAAACAACAGAATTGATTTTCTCATGATTCTGGAGGCTGGAAGTCCAAGATCAAGGTGAGGGCAGGGTTGGTTTCTTCTCCGCTTGGCTTTAGGTGCTACCTTCTCACTGTGTCTTCACGTGGTCCTCCCTCTGTGTGTGTCTCTGTCCACATCGCCTCTTCTTATATGGTCACCTGTCATGTTGGATGAGAGGCCCACTCCGCTGACCTCATTTAACCTTAGTCCCCTCTGTAAAGGCCTTATCTCCAAATGCAGTCACCTTCTGAGGTTCGGGGTGTTAGGGCTTCAACATAGGTATTCTGAGGGGGCACAATTCAGCCCATAACAAGGAGGTGGTTTTTAGACACAGATCTTGCTGAGGAAGAGAAAAAGCAAACGTTTATTCTCTGGTGACTCGCCCCCTGCTCTGGTGCCCCGTCCACCTCAGAGGACACAGGGCATGTGGCTCTGTCCCAGGGCTACACGTGCCAGGCCCTGCCCAGCACGTCACTCACATTAATCAGGTACCGGCCTTTCCTTCCCTCTTCAATGTCACCCCCTCTGGTGTATTTGGGCAGGCGTGACAACAGAAGGAGGTGGGTTGCCTGCGTGGGGTCCAGAACCCCCTGTCTGACTACTGCCTCTCCAGCTGGGCATTCCTCCTGCTCTGCCAGGGCCACTCCTCACCCCACTGTCGACCACAACTCAGAGGGACCCGTGGCTGCAGTCCCCGAGGTGGGGGGGAGGAAAAACCCAGGAGACCCCACCTCTCTTGGTGGCCCCGTCCGTTACTCCACTGTGGAAAGGGTGTGAGCACTAATCCCATCACGAGACTGCACCCTGTGACCTGATTACCTCCCAAACCCCATCTCCAAACACCATTACATGGAGGTGACACTGGGGAGTTTCAACATGGATTTTAGGGGGACACAGACATTCAAACCATAGCAGATAGCTAACCCTCGAAAAACCTAATTTCAAGCAACTGTTTTCATGACTTGTGAATTGATAAAGACTGAAACCCCAACGCAGGGTCTGGGCCGAGAGAAGCAGGTGAGGCTTCCGCTGATCGACGGTGTTCTAGGGAGAAGGCGCGCAACCTGCAGCAGCCGGGCAGCTTGAAATCTGTTCTTCTTTTTTGTTTTTTTAATACCGCTGTGGAGAATTTTTAGAAACATTTAGAATGATTTCATGGGAAGTAGGGTGTTGGCGGCTCTCTGCAGGCTGCCGGGAGCCATCGAGTGGTGGGGACGTGGGATGGCTTGGAGGGCTCAGCGTGAGGATCTCCACAGCTGATCTGTCTGTCCCTGTAACGTGCGTCTTGCAGGCATGAATTAGCACTCTCTCCAGGAGCCACTGTTTTCCTTTTCTTTTTAATGGTTATGTTTTCCATCAGGTTTTCTACACACCAACCTGAAAAGGCTGATGTTATTATCTGATGGAATATCGGTCGGCCAGTCCAGTTACTCTGTTGTGCGCTTAGAGAGTTGTCAGAGTGGAGGCGAAGAGAAAATTCCTGCATTCGGTTTTTCTATCATATCTTCCAGATAATTAGTGTTTGTTGCGGTTATTTTCTTACAGTAAAGAAGGAATTCATATGTTTCCTTGGGACTAAATGGATAGCTACTTGTAGAGCTGATAAAAACTTGGGGGACACCAGATAGATTTTAATTTTATTTTTATTGTTCGTTTTTTTGTTTTTTTGTTTTTTTGCGGTACGCGGGCCTCTCACTGCCGTGGCCTCTCCCGTTGCGGAGCACAGGCTCCGGACGCGCAGGCCCAGTGGCCATGGCTCACGGGCCCAGCCGCTCCGTGGCATGTGGGATCCTCCCGGACCGGGGCACGAACCCACGTCCCCCGCACCGGCAGGCAGACTCTCAACCACTGCGCCACCAGGGAAGCCCCTTTTTGTTCGTTTTTAACCTGATAGGCTGAATGACTACTTGTGAATATTCTGGACTAGGGCTGCATTTGAGTCAGCTTTCTCACCTCAATTCCAGATATTTCATATGAGGCTAGTCAGGCTGAACTGGAATGCTCCAGACTATTTTACATGCAACATTCATAAACAAAGCTTTTCTCAATGACAAGCATTTTCAAGTTTGGGTTATCGCTTAAAATAGTCTGTCCATATATCATAAAACGTCTTTATTATAGAAAGATGCAAGAACCATGTTGATTATGCCAAGACCACTGAATCAGAAAAGCATAAAGTATCTTTAGCTCAATAATTCTTATTCTGGTAGCTTAACTATATAAAGGATATCGCATTGCCATCATTCTCTACTCCCTCCCCTCCCAAAGAAAAGCTCATTGAATTATTTTAACATCTTAAAGAAAATTACGGTATGTGGGTAAATAATACAATTATCATCACCTAGACCGCAAGCTACATAAAAATGAGGCGGCGTCCGCCTGCTCACAGCTGGTGGACTCATGGCTTTCTTCAGGAAACATTTGTTAGGTGGGTGGGTGGCGGAGCATTTTAAGAGTGCAATGACTTATTTTTAAGTGAGAATATACGGTTTTGTAGTAATAGAAGACATAAAAAACATACGTCTTAAGCCTTGGAATTTTTACAAGTGGAGTCTGTTGTTTTTTTCAGGATGGTATTTAGTGGAGTCCATATTGTGGATCATTTTAAACACTGTTTACAAAATGCCCAAGTTATTGCATGTTCCTTTAAGTCCTCATTAATTTTCCCATGTTAGTTATTTAAAATGTAAAACCAAAAGTATCTAATATGATTTTCTCTTTCTTTTTTATTCTTTTTCCCTTTTTTTTGCATTTAAAGTAGGACCCTCTTAGAGTAGTAATTTGGAAATAGACAATGCCGTTTCTTTGTGTATGGTGGAAGGTACTTGAGAGAATAATAATAAGCTGTTTGGGGATAACTTGGAGACCACAGTTGGTCATCAGTTAACTTTTAAACTTGGCAGACCTGCTTGAGGTTGTTAGGAACCATTTTACTGAGATTCCAAAACTGTTTCAGTTGAGGTATGCTTAAGTGGAAGGAATGTAACGGTGAGACACTGAACTACTGACCTGCAGGATTGTTTTAGGAATAGAAATGAGAATATCAGCTTCTCATTCATGGTAAAGCAGGTAACTATCTTAACAAAATATAAGAATCGTATGTTACACGATTGTATGATCCTTACTCATAAGGTTATAAAATTTTCCCATCTGCACGTTGCATAATAAGACTGAGTTTTGGTATGCCTTAGTATGAATCTCTCTAAAAAGTGCTTCTCCTAAGCCACTAAGATTCTGTGTGTCCTTGTATGTATGTGCATGTGCTTGAGTGCACACATGAAAAGTAAGCAGTTATTCATGATATAGTTCTTATATTTGATACCATTTATTCATGCACTTATGTCACTTATGAATTGATCTTTCCCTTTAGGTAAAGAGGATGAATTTCCAAAGAAACCTTTGGGACAACTTCCCCCTGAATCTCAATCAGCTGGCGTCAGTCACCTGAGCAACGGACAGAGAAGTGTGGGCAGGTCCAGTCCGCATCTGGACGGCAGGAGAGAGACCGGCTCGTCACCTTACAAAGCCCACGAGCATTCCCCTCCCCATCAAAGTAGAACAGGTACCCCCGAGAGGGCGCGGCAGCTGCGGCGGAAGTCGGTGGACGAGGAGAGTAAAAAGCTTAAAGATGAGGTGGATTTTCAAAGGAGACTTCCATCGGGTCCACAGGACAATTCCAGGCAGTATAACCACGCAGCCGCTAACCAGAATAGCAACGCCACTTCACACATCAGGAAGGAGTTTGTGCCCAAATGGAATAAGCCGTCAGATATCTCAGCTATTGAGAAAACTGCCAAGTATGCCATTGAAGGCCGAAGTCGGGCTGCACACCCCACGCCGAGAGTCACCGTCCCCGGTTCCGCTGATCCATGGGCCCCCAGCGTCAGGCAGAAGGTGAAGGTGCTGGATGCGGACGAAGGGAAGCGTGGCTCCACAGCCTCGCAGTATGACAACGTACCTGGGGATGGAGCCAGCGCGGCCCTGGAGCAGGCGCTGGAGAGGGCGCACTCCCAGAGCCCCAGGGGCGCGGCCTACCCTCACAGCCCAAGGAGGCACGCTGAGCCCAGCTCCAGTCCATCCAGAGCCCCGAACACGTTTACATTTAAATTACAGCCTCCGAGTTATGCAAAATATCCATCCCAGTTAGACGGGGAGGATCGAGGGGCAGCACACCCCCCATCTTACAGTGACCCCCCCACTTACCAGGGCAGTTCTCCAAAGCGCATCCCTGCTGCTAACAGCAGCTTTGTGTCTCCACCGTTTCCCCACGGGACACCAGTGAATCCTTCCCGGAGACCTTACGGTTCTACTCTTTCGACTGATGTTTCTCCGGAGAAATCTTACAGCCGCGCAACTCCTCTGGTCCAGCCGTCCAGTCGAATAGAAGTTCTCCCTGTTGATATTGGTGCTGCGGGATATTCGGGCAATTCAGGGTCACCAAAGAATGGGAAATTCCTCCTTCCTCCAGTGGAATGTTTGCCAGATAATAACGGAAAATGGTCGGAAGTTGGTTACACATTGAGACCGGAGATGCACGGACAGTCGTGGACTCGTGATGCCAACCGTAGCCACTTAAGCAATTTACCCAAATACCCCACCTTTCAACACATCCCCTATCAGGACCACACCCTCCCTGCAGTTTCAGTAGATAGTCCGGTGCGGTATCGAACTTCCCCAGCTCTGGAAGATGCCAGTTCATCTGGGTATCAGTATTCAGGGCCCTCACCTCCAGTATATCACTACAGGAATCGGGATGGACTCTCTATCCAGGAATCAGTATTGCTGTGAGAATTGATCTGTACTTGCTGCAGACGAGAGAATAGAAACCATATGAAACCTACATTGCTATGTTGATAATTGCCAAAGCAGTATTTTATACAGTTGTGAACAACTCGCACAATTCTCGTGTATGTCGGTAATAAGAATATATGGAAGTGATTTCATCCCCACCTAGATGCTGCTTAAGATGAGCTTTTAACTTGCATCATCACTGAACCTGTTAAAAAGAATTTAACCTGGAAACATAGCAATAGTATTTAGGGATGCACGCACAGTTTCATTTATATCTTTCTCCAAAATCTGAATATTTGTACTCTGTTAGTCCATTCTATTTTGAGTAATGATACAAAGCACTGAAAAACTGTAGAATAGATATTTTTAAGGCTATGTGTAGTGTACGTGTCTTTTAATAGATACTATATGCATCTACACATACACGTTTGAACACAGAACTAAAGAAATGTTAAAAAAAAAACAACTACTTTTCATCTAGATCCATGGAATAATTTATTCTACTTCTTTGCCCTACCTTGTCTTTTGGTCATGTTTTTTTTCCCCCTTATATTTTTAACGCAGGTCCTAAACTGACTTGAGGGTTTGCCCTGGCTTAATTCAGCATCTCACGGAATGCTCAGCTTTCTCGTTCAATTGCTCATTCAGTTTTCAATCTGAAGATTAAAGACATTGGAGAGAAAGGCTAACCACTTAATGGTGCTTAAAATCGGGGCAGTTTAATTTTATGACCAAAGGTGCAGCGCGCAATGTATCCGTGTTCACCAAGAGATCAGCTTTCGTGCGTCTGTGCCCTTTTTTCTGGTCTGACCCTCGCAAAGCTCAGAGCAGAGTGTTCCTTGCCAGATGCCCAGGAAGTACACACAGCCCTCCGGCGGATGCCAGCAGGAGAAGCTGCAAGTTACCGATCATCAAGCACTCACACGGGGCAGCAGAACAAATTCCTTTACATTCATTTGAAAGCAAGATTAACAATATGGTTACTTCTTACTTCTGCCCCTTAAATTACTGTGGAGTCTCCCCGCAAAGGGCCCCGGGGTGGCATTTACATGATCTTTTCCTGGCCCTCTTCTTTAAAGAATGTAGTCAGTGAATATTGCTGCTCGTAGGCCGTTAAATTATCGCTGTGTAAAATTGTAAAAAATGATCCTAATTATTACTAGGAACCTCAGATTTTGGTGGGTTTTTTGTTGTTTTTTTTTAAATAGCGTGACTTTCATACTTTCAAAAATCTTTTTTTGTTGTTGTTTGTTTCAGTGAAAAATTCAGGTTCATGGTAACAAATCAGCAATGTCTTTCAAAATCTTCTGTTACACTACAATGACCAAAACACTGACCAAGTTTTGGGCACTCTAAGAAAGTATGCCTTTGGGTTTCACTGGAGAGCTTGTTTTCAACATTACTTTGATCCTATTTGAACAATAGGGAATAGAAAACCTAACATTGATGGTTCTTCTTGTTGCAAGTTGGGGCTTTAAGCTTTCAAGGTACAGAAGTATGTCTTTTAAAATGAGAGTAACATTTGTTTAGCTAGTGAATGTGACAATATTTTTATGTATATAATGAGCCTAATATAATTTTAATCAACTTGGTAATGATGTTATTAAATGGCAAAACAAATGCAGTGTATTAGCAGCCAAACACTGCGCGGAAACTCCGATCCACCAGGCTCCTGGTTCAGATCATGTGGAAGCTTAGAAATAAATGTATATAAAATTGTAGCTGGGGATGTGAATTCCAATTTTAAACCATGATTCTGTGACTTGTAATAAACCAAGCTGTACAATTTAGTTTATGATAGCAGCATCAGAGCTGTTCCAAAATATATATATATATCAACAGTGGTAAATACTGTAGATTTATATATATATACATATATATGCAAAAAATATATGCACACACACTATTTTCTTATGTCACCTATGACTTTTTTTATCTGTATACTTCTTTTGATGTGATTGTTTTTAACATGCTAAATAAGTATATTTTGTTTTGTGTCTTTTATGTGCTTTTTTCAGATGGCATCTCTGATTTTTCTAAAGCTAGTTCCTTTCTAACTGAGCAGATACTGTGTAGCGTTTGCCTACATGACTTTATATGTATCACAGTTGTATATGTTTTACTAATTTCCAGTAGTTCTGTATTTAGAACCGCATCACCTGCCCTTTATTTGATTTAATCAGCCATTGTTAATAGTGATAAGGTATTATTTTCAGTCTTCCCCCGTTAGAAAATGTAGATCTGTTAGTTTTTCAAGTAGGAAAATATAACTCAGAGTCATTTTGCCACCGTACAATTTTACTCTTTCAAATTTATCTTTTAATAAAAGATAAATAGTGAAATAAGGATAAAATATGAAATAACATTCATAGAGTAGGCGAAGTATATTTATAAAGAACATTTGGGGAGGATCTTCATGGTGTAGAGACCGATTTTGCTTTAACTAGATGTACATGAGTAACTATTTTGCCACTATTAAGTCTTTTCTTCATAGCAGTTTTGCCTAGCACAGTAAGCACTTTGATATAGTTGTTATATTTTAATATTTAGTTTGAAAAGTTAAAGAAACTTAGACCCAGTGTCTCAAAGGGTTTTAAAACTTCGACTCTTTCAGGTGCTTATGTTGCTTACAGGATTTTTAAAATAGCTTTGAGAGCTGGGAGATAGCCATAGCTGTCAAATCAGACACCCTGGTATTGCAGGGGAGGAAAAAAAATTCTTCTTCCTTCTGCCCTCTAGGTTCTCCACCCAGGCCCTGTAGATTGGACTGACAAAGGACAGACCAACGGGAGAAAAGCAACTGGAAGGTCATTAACACGTGCGTCCTGCATTCACGTGGTATCCGGTTATCAGTCACTCAAAGGGAGGGTTAGCTTGGGGTCTCTCCACCCAACCTAGTCAAGGCAGGGGTGAGGGTGGTAAGGGGGAGAAAGGGCACTTACGGAAAAGCAGGTGACTTTCTGGAAAATAAATGGGCCTTAAGAGAGCAGGTGGGAGACATGATCGTCTGTGACTGGGTCTGGTGGGGCGCCAGAAGAGGAGGTTATAGAGTTGCCCCAGGAGGGGATTTAGGAGAGTTGTGTTCTTTGGGGGTGCGGGGGGGTGGCGCTCTGCTTTTAGGCAGATAAGGGATTTCAGAAACTCAGATGCCTTCAGCTCAAAAATCGTTTTTATTGCCCAGTGGCATATTTTGGGGTAACAGATCCCGATACCCTTCACTGTCAATGACAGAATGTTTCTCAAAAGAAGGAAGAGAGATTCAGGTAATGGGGCATTTCCGGAGAAGAAAAATGGTTGTTTACAGGATGTGATGTGATTGTTTGAACTTTTTTTCATTTTAAGAAGATTCTTATACTAAATTTTTGTCATACTCAGTGTCACTTTAACATGGAGTTTTATATTTGTTGTCATTTCAGATCTCTCCCTCAGGGCTCGTTATACTATAAGCACAAAAATGATGCCTAGTCAATACTTTGCTAAGATCCGTTTTCTTTTCATTTTCATGATTAGAGAAAAGCATTCCATCTCCACAAATAGGGATTTATTCACAGAGGATCTACAGCTTAATCTTCTGGAAATACTGTTCTCAGTTATCTTTATTTATTTATTTATTAGCATCTTTATTGGAGTATAATTGCTTTACAATGGTGTGTTAGTTTCTGCTGTATAACAAAGTGAATCAACTATACGTATACATCCCCATATCCTCTCCCTCTTGCATCTCCCTCCCACCCTCCCTATCCCACCCCTCTAGGTGGTCACAAAGCGCCAGCTGATCTCCCTGTGCTATGCGGCTGTTTCCCACCAGCTATCCATTTTACATTTGGTAGTGTATATAAGTCCATGCCACTTTCTCTCACTTCATCCCCGCTCAGTTATCTTTTAGATTCACACCTTTGTTTTAGTATGCACTTGATTGTGGGTTAATTGAGACTATGGTTTTGGCAGTCTGTTTCTTTGTTTTAATTGTCCTTTAATGGATTTTAAATTTCATTTCTTTTTTTTCTTTTTTTTTTTTGCGGTATGCGGGCCTCTCACTGTTGTGGCCTCTCCCATTGCAGGGCACAGGCTCCGTGGCCATGGCTCACGGGCCTAGCCGCTCCGCGGCATGTGGAATCTTCCCGGACCGGGGCACGAACCCGTGTCCCCTGCATCGGCAGGCAGACTCTCAACCACTGCACCACCAGGGAAGCCCTAAATTTCATTTCTAATATTGATATTAACACTTACTGACCAGATGGTTTTAATAAGTCAGACTTTACTTTTATAATGACCTAAGGTATTGAGAATAGGAAGAAAGGATTCCATTTAACATTTATGTATGAATTGTACTTTCAGAAGGATTTTCAGTTTCCATAAATCTAAGCATAATTGCCACCATTTTATCAATAAGAACCCTGAAAAATAGAGGAACAAATGTTAGATTTCATAGGACTGGATCTTGACCCCTGCTGCTAGTTAGAACTGGGGAAATTTTTTTAAAAAATTGATTGTGTATTACCACTGTGAGCTGTCTCAAAAATTCTTAACAGGTCAGTTTCAGAGATTAGAAACTGATTTCAGGTAAGTTAAGAAAATTTCCACTGGAAAGACTAACATTACCAGCCATCTCTGTAAATGCTTATGAACTACTAGCAGTTGTGGAAAGTAGCAGTGGCTTCAGCTGAAGGTGGCTTGACCCGGTACTTTCTCTCATTACGTCTTACAGTAGTTCTTCCAAATAGGTAGAGCCTTACGAGGATTTCCATTTTCCTGGACAACCTCTGTCACTTTCCGTAAGTGACAGGCTAAAAAGAGGCTTAAGCTGTCAGGAAGCCCAAGTGCGTTTTCCCCATGTGAGAAGCTGAGAAGATGCTGCATATCCTGGTCGTCCACTTGACCGCTCAGCATTTTATTGAGCACCTACAGTGTACTAGTTGCCTTGGGATTGTGCTAGGTTCACACGTCAAGATAAGAGGCACATTTTGTAATCTGTGTCTCAATTCAGTGTTGGGGGCGGGACGTGCACAGGTGACTATTATGGGCACAGAAGGGCCCAACTCAAGAGGGTGAGGGAGGGCCTGTGTGGAGGATTCTCAGAGTAGATGGACTAAAGGGAGGGGAAGGGGGCGTTTGTACAGAGGGGATGGAACGAGCAACTGCATGGTGCGTGTGGGGAAGTTTCTCGCTTTGGTGTGCGTGTGGGATGGGGTGGGAGGGTCTGCAGAGACCGGGTCCTGGAGGGCCTTTTGTGGCCTGTGGAGGCGGATGCAGGGGCGCAGGCCTGGGGGAAGTTAGGACAGTTGCAGCAGGTGTTCTGTCTACAAGGTAGGTGGTCCAGAGCTCAATGCCAGGGAAGAAGTTACGAAGAAAAGGTGATGAACTTGAGAACTATTTACTAAGTAAAATTGGCAAAACTTGATAATTTGTTGAGTGTAACCACAATAATTAAGAAAAGTAGCTAACATTACTGAATGCCTGCTGTGCATCTGGCACTGTGCTAAGCATTTTACCTGTATTAACTCACTTAATTCTCAGAATAACTCTCTGAAGTGTGTACGACCCTAATTCCCAGTTTACAGATGAGAAAACTAAGGCACGAAGAGTTGAAGTAACTTACCCCAGGTGACACGGTAGGTAAGAGACCCCGGACTTGAATCTGAATCTAGGGCCTGTGCTTCCCTCCCCCCCACCGACAGTTTTAAGGAGGTATAACTTACCTACCATAAAATTCACCCATTTTAGTGTACACGTCAGTGATTTTTTGGTAAATTTACAGACTTGTGCAACCATCACAACAGACCAATTTTAGAACCTTTCCATCACCTCAAAAAGATCTCTTGTCCCCATTTGCAATATCCATTCCCACCCCCAGCCTCAGGCAACCACTAATCCACCTTATATCTCTTTGATTTCCCTTTTCTGGACATTTCGTATAAATGGAATCAGATAATATGTGGGATTTTTGCATCTGGCTTCTTTTGTACTTAGCCTAATGTTTTTGAGGTTCGTCCATGTATTAGTAACTACTTTTTTATTGCTGAACAGTATTTTGTTGTATGGCTATATCACATTTTGTTTATCCAGTCACCAGTTGATAGACATTTGGATTGTTTTCACATGGTGCTGTGACCATTTGTGTACAGGTATTTGTGTGGCCTTGTTTTCACTTCCCTTGCATATGTATTTAGCAGTGCTATTGCTGGTTTTTATGATAAGCTTGTGTTTAACTTTTTAAGAAACTCCCACACTCTTCCAAAGTGTCTGTACCATTTACGTTCCCACCAGCAATGTTTGAGGGTTCTGATTTCTCCACATCCTCACCAATACTTGTTGTTTTATATTTTTTGGTTATAGCCGTTCTAGTGGGTGTGAAGTGATATCTCATTGTGGCTTTGATTTGCATTTCTCGAATGGCTAAATGATGTTGAGCGTCTTTTCATCTTTTTATGAATCATTCATGTATATTCTTTGGTGAAATGTCTATTCAGATCTTTTGCTCACTTGTTTAATTGGGTTTTATTTTTGAAAAGTAAGTGTTCTTAAAATACTCTGGATACAAGTCCTTTATAAGACATATTTGCAAATATTTTCTCCCAGTCTGTGACATGTCTTTTCAGTTTCTTAATGGTGTCTTTTGAAGTGTGAGTGTTTCTAATTTTAATGAAGTTCAGTTTATTGGTTTCTTCTTTATGGATCATGCTTTTAGTATTGTATCTCTCTGCCTAACCCAGGGTCACAAATGATTTTCTCCTATGTTTGATTTCAGAAGTGTTATAGTTTTAGCTCTTACACTTAGGTCTGTGAGCTGTGTTGAATTATTACTGTGTAAGGTGTGAGGTAAGGATCTAAGTTTACGTGGGTATTCAGTGGTCTCAGCACCATGTGTTTAAAAGCCTGCTTTCCCCAGCTGAATTGCCTTGGCACCTCTAACAGAAATCAGTTGACCATATATATAAGTATTTATTTTAAGTTTTGAAATCAGGAAGTGTACATCCTCCAACTTTGTTCTTTTTCAAGTTGTTTTGGCTATTTGGGGTCCTTTGCATTTCTATATAAATTTTAGGATCAACTCGTTAGTTTCTTCAAAAACCAAACCAGACCAAAACAACAACCTGTTGAATCTATAAATCAACTTGGGAATCTTAAAATGTTGGGTCTTTTGATCCATAAACATAGACTATTTATTTTTATTTTTATTTTTATTTATTTTTTTTTTTTGTGGTACGCGGGCCTCTCACTGCTGTGGCCTCTCCCGTCGCGGAGCACAGGCTCCGGACGCACAGGCTCAGCGGCCATGGCTCACGGGCCCAGCCGCTCCGCGGCATGTGGGATCTTCCTGGACCAGGGCACGAACCCGTGTCCCCTGCATCGGCAGGCGGACTCTCAACCACTGCACCACCAGGGAAGCCCTTTAATTTTGACTTTTAATTTATTTTTCATTTGGTTTTTAATTTATTTTTCATTCATTTTGATCTTTAATTTCAGCACGGTTTTGTAGCTTTAGCCTTAACACTTATTTTGTTAAAGGTATTCCTAAGTGTTTTATTTTCATTGCTCTTGTGAATAGAATTGTGTTCTTGAGAGCCTGTGTGCTTACACATCATTCTGTACTGTTGAGGGGAGAGGAGGCTCAAGGTTGATTTCTTCAGTTCCCAGGTTGGGCGGTGGTGTGGATAGTGAGGTCACAATCTGATGAAAAGAATTCAGGAGACGGAGCAGGTGTAGGCTTGGTAAGGAAACGTGTAGAATCTGAGGAATAGGGGACGGACAGATTGTGCTGTCTGATGGGCAGCCGGGAATTCCAGAGAGATTTGGACTTGCTGGCATGTAAGGATCAAGTCATAGGAGAGCACCTGCCTCGGGAAAAGATGAGCTGAGGACGGGAGAGCCTGGGGGGTCACTGACAGTTAAGAGGTGCCCCAGGAAGAAGGTGTGAAGCACTCAGAGAGGCAGTCCTGGACTGGTTCCGCAGTACCCACGTGCCCGGTGATTGAAGACGGAGCTTCGGAGTCAAACTGACTCGAGTTTGAAGTCGACATCCACGGAGGCCACTCTTGTCGATTCTGGGAAATCGTGAAGTAGCAGGACGACAGCATCCGTGTCCTCGGGGACCTGATGTGATCCATTTCCTCCTCTTGTAGTATGGAGATTGTAGCGCTTATTTCATGGAGTTGTGAGGATTAAATGAGTTGACTTGTGCAAAGTATCCAGCGTAGCGTCATCACGCGGTGAACGTGAAACGTTACCTGTTGTCACACGACCCCACGGAGCTGGGCGTTAGAGACCAGGAGGGTGTGGACCCTGACTTCATGGAGCTGAGAGTCTCGTGAGCAGCGCAGAGGCACACACGACACGACACGACACGACATGACACGACACGTGGGGGGAGGGACGGCACAGGGCGATGGGAGAGGAGGGGCCCTGGCTAGGGGGGCAGGGGTCCCAGGAAGGAGGAAATGGTCGGCGGCCTCAGTGCAGCAGAAAGGCCCATTGCCTTGACTGAAGAAACAATTGGGGTTTGACAGTTTGGGGGTTGGTGCCGTCATCTGCTGTCTCTCCTAGAGCCACGGCCAGGTTGGCACCCATGGGCGGCGATGCCGGTCTCTCCAGAGAAGGGTGGGTGGAGGGAGGGGCTGGGAGGGGTGGATTTACACGGGGAAATAATGCCAGTTAGAGGGTAGTTCTGACCATTCAACCACTCAAGGACCTCTACCAGCCAGCCTGTGGTTTTATTCCAGTTTGTTACGTTCTGTATTCACGGGGATTAACCTTTCTGTAGTTCAGACTCTCCACTTTAATTTGGAGGAAAATCAGCATAATCTGAAGATAAAGCAGACTGCGTCAAGAAAGCTCTCATGTCCCGCCAGGGACATCCTTGACTCTGGAGAGCAGTTCTCTGAGTTTTGCTGCCATGTGCAGCGCACTAAGGAGGTGTGATCTAGAAGTCGCCGTGCGCGGATGGTGGAGAGGCTCACTGCTCTGAAAGCTAAGCACAAATCAGCGACGAACCGTGGCTCCCAGAAAGCCCAGGCTTGAATGCGGCTGTCAGCTCTGCCAAGATCCCTGGGGTGGCTCCAGGCAGGTCACTGGGCCTCCCCAGGCCTGGTTTCTCTGATCTGCAAACTCTGGGGGTCGGAAGGACAGTTTGAAAAGGGCTCTGCCTCAGACGCTAAGGGGAGGGTGCCCCGACCCCAGGTCTCTTTGTCTGCTTTGTGCAGGTACCATGTCGGGTGCTAGGAAAACAGTGGTGAGCAAAGACCAGATGGTCCCTGGCATTACGGAGTGGACGGTCGTGTGGGGAAGACTGGCATTCTTTGTTACCAGCATAAATGAAGACCCACATCTGTGGCAGGGACCAGGAGGGAGGAGAACCCAGTGCGCTCGGGCCCCTGTGATAACGACAAGCCCGAAGGTGATGCTCGTGAGAAATGATGCGGCTTGAATTGTACGGGCAACGAAGTCGGTGCGGTAATGGGCCGAGGAAACCGGCTCATGGCCGTGGGAGGTGAGGGGCCTTCGCAGGACAGCCTGGGAGCAGAGGACGCAGAGTAGCAAATATGGCACAGACAGTTCAAGTTGCTAACGTGAAGGCAGTCGTACATTATCAACCGTGTCTGTACCCACGAATAATACATTCGCAGGACCACCTTTGGAAAGGCGGATGACGACGGCCCTGGCCGTCTGCACTTTGCTGGAGTAGACTGGAGGCCCTCACACCTGCGCTGCAGTCTGAGCTTGCCACTTGTCAGCAGGTGAGCTTGGGCAAGTCACGTTCCCTTTCTGGGCTTCACTTTCTCAGCTCTAAAACGTGAGTGTTCGAGCTAGACAGGGTGGTGGAGATGACCTCGGACAGCGGGTCTCAACCAGCGCTGTGAACGAGAGTCACTCGAGAAGCTGCCAGAAATACTGATGCTCAGTCCCCCCCAGACCAATAAGTCAGAATCTCCCTGGCTGGGGCCTAGGAATTAGGATTTTTTTAAAAAAATAAACACACAGTCCAATATTTCATGATTCTATAACCTGTGCCTCAGAACTGAACCATGTGATGCAATTGTATAGGAATAAACTGCAAGAAGCCAGAGCCTTGGGCTTGAACTCTTGGTTGAGAAGCCATGAGTGACCTGCCTCTCTTAACAAGCAAAGTGGACCATGAAGAAAGGAGACGTCCTTCCCTTTCCACCTCTACGTCTTTATTGTTCTAGCTCCCATGTCATTCTTCTGTTACTATCCGGAGACACCTTAAAATCATGTGAGGGCATTTCTATCTAGAGGGTTTGAATGGTGTGTGGAAAGAACTCAGGCTTGCAGCAAACTTGGAGATGAGTCTTAGCTTTTCCACTAACCCTGCTGGACCTCAGCCTCTTGAGTAAAATAGAGAAAATGAGACCTTCCCTGCAGGGTCGCTCTGAAGAGGTACTGAGGTAATGTACGTGTAATACAGTGCCTGGGACAGAGATGCTCCATAAATGTTAAATGATGAATAGAAATGTTTGTATAGGGAAAGGGCTAATATCATTTATATTTAAAGGGCTTGTTTTTCGCCTTGAGACTTGTGAAGTACCCCCAAGTGGAATATGGGCAAAGCATAGTAAAAGAAAATGTACAGATAAGTACAAAGCGATTAAACATATCCTCCATCTCCACTAACTAGAGGAACTGAAATTGAAGCAATGATTGACAAACAGTTGGCCAAAAGGATGTCTGTGCCCTGCTGGTGGGAGGAAAATGCATCCCAAATGTGCCACTTCCCATGCTGTGTTATCCATACAGCAACACCACTTCCAAGAGCAGAAATGCATGTGGATGTAAAGGGATGTTTGTTTCACCATTGTTTGTAATAAAGAAGAACTGGAGGTAGCCTGAATGTCCGTTAACAGAGGATAGGTTAAATTAGAGTGTAACCATATAAAAGGACGCTAACACTGTTCACCCTTTAAAAATATGGAGATGGCCTGATATGTACTGACATGGGAAGATGTCTGATTCATTGCTCAGTGAACAAAGCTACAAACAGTATTCACATAGCCCTTGGTTGACTTTCCAGCTTCTGCCTCCCCATCAGGCCAGCCTTGAAGCAGACAGCATTGTGGTGTTGAAGGTCATGCATCGGGTGGGGTCGGGGGTCACTCACCATAGGTTTGGGAGGGCCAGGGAAGTTCTATGTACACGAGCTTCGAAGCCTTAAGGACAGACAGACGCTGAAGAAGGTTTTAGAACTGATGGGCAGGCACCTGGGACGTAAGAATGAGCCACGTTGAAGTAAGGCAGGGTGATGAAGAGGGGTAAAGACCCCTAAAGATGGGGGCATGTCCCAGGTCGGTAGGGATAAGAGGTGAGAGGGAGGCCGGGCAGATACCTCCCACTTGGGTCACCGTTTAAAGGCTTTAGCCAAGAATGAGACTGACAGGGCTTGCAATGGAACTCAGCAAGTGTCCATCCTCCATGGAGAGGCCTTCAAACTGCCAAGCCCTCCCCTTAAACAGTCCTGCTCCTTCCCTTCCTGTTCTTTCAGCTGGGGAGTTGGCGGAAGAAGAAGGGGCAGGAAATCAGAGAGGTCCCTGGGGCAGCCCTGAAAAGCAGCAGGTGGTCACAGGCCAGGAGCCCCGAGCCCAGAGCACTACTGGAAGCCACACCCTGATTGTCTGAGGCTGGTGTGGCCTGGGGTGAAAGGGCACTTGTTTATTTTCACATCGAAGCTAAAGGTCAAGTGATGCCCAGTGAGTGACAGTTTGAAAAGCAATAATAGTTTTTTTGAAAGGCAGGTAACTCAGAAATATGAAGGCCTTGAAACAAGGGGGAGTCCAATCCCTGCTAGTCTCTTCCGGCTGAGTAAGTCGATGTTGGATTTTCTTCTGTTTCAAAGCCTGTGTGGGAAGCTGTCTTCTCTTCCCCGCTGGCCCCATCAGAAACAATGGTGGGTGTTTATTGATTCCAGAAAGAGGTGAGGAGGTTTTAAACCTGGACTTGGCCCATCTTTTTAAAATCACTGGATGTTCCATTCGCCTGGGATAGCCTATCTTTTGGAGTTCATGGATCAGGAAAATATTCTACAAAGTTTGAGGTACATAGAATTGTCCATTTTTATTTTATCAAATGTGTTTATTAAAAGGAAAATATCTTAAACATTTTAAAAAATATTTGTTTTGGTTGTGCTGGGTCTTAGTTGTGTCAGGTGGGTTCCTTAGTTGTGGCATGCGAGCTCTTAGTTGTGGCATGCATGTGGGATCTAGTTCCTGTGTTGGGAGCAAGAAGTCTCATCACTGAGCCACCAGGGAAGTCCCAAAAGGAAAATATTTTAAAGAATATTGTTACACAGGTGAAAAAGAAGAAAGTAAGAGCATAAATCAGAAAAATGGACAGTCCATTAAACTGAATGTAGTTAGCCTTTTTAAAAATCCACTATATTGACCTTTATTTTCTTTCCTTTTTTTAAACACCCACATTGTCACGGCAGACTGGTGGAAACTCGATAAGTGGCTCGGCCATGGTGCACACATCAGCGTTTAAAGGCCACTGACTTCGTGTTTGAGTACCAGATGATAAAATTAGATTGCGTGGTTTGTAGAAAATTAAGTTCTTTAGCTAAACCAGATGCTAAGCTTCTGCCCAGAATCAGTATACTGTTAGAAGTCTGGAAACTAATAAACATACCGTAACTATTAATTTATGGATGGGTTGTTGGCAGATAACTTCAGAGAAGGAATCCAGGCTTGAAACAGCTCTTATAACACCAGATGGAGTGTGTGAGTTTAATCGAGTCCCAAGAAGGGATATCTGTACAGTGCCTAAAAAAACAAAAACAAAAACAAAAAAAAAACACTGGGATCTGAGTTAGGCCTGAGATAAGCTGAGAGAAGCAGGGAAAACTAGAACCTAATTGAAACTGATACAAGAAATTAAGAGCCATGCAAAGAAAACCAGATGTTCTTTTATGATGAAGTGCGTTGGAGGGAAGCAGGGACAACTTAACCCACCCAGAATCCAGTCACCTGGCAGCTTCACCCGAGGACAGGAGGCCCGAAGGAACCGGGCTGACTAACCAACTAATGTCCTACACGTAGAGTGGTAGAGCTGGAGCGCTGTGCTCTTGGGGAAACTCTCCGGATGACAGACCACACCCATTGGACTCAGGCCAGGCAATTCCTGAAGCTCCCTTCATCGTGTGATGAACAGTTTCCAGATGGAGAGACAAGCCCAGAGTTGTCCGGGGACAACTTGCCCAAGGTCTCACGACTGGGCAGGAACCAGACCTCACCTGTCCCTGCTGCTGATCCACCCCAAAGCAGATTGAAGACACAAATCCAGAGGAGGAAGGTGGGCACTGCGGTGACCCCTGCCGTCAGCCGGACAGCCCTCACTCAGCCGGAGAGCGAGAGGAGGATAAAGCCTAGTTACCTGAACAACCAACCAACCAACCCTGGTGCAGATATTCAAGAAATGGCAATATGGGTGAAAGAGTCCAACAAATCTGAAGTCTTCCCTGCATCACTGTGTAGACTGGCCTGTGTAATGAGGCCCCTGAATCCCACAGCGTTACCGAATGTCTGCTGTGTGCCCGTAAGTGTTTATCAGAATAAAGTCATATTTTGTTCACTACACATCCAATTAAAAAACAAAACTTCCTAGTTGAAGTCTTCAGTAACACTTGCTGGATTCCTGCAGTAACATTCTACTCAAAGACACAATCTCAAATCCTACCATTAAAGCCCAGCTTGGACTATGTCCTTTTCCTGCTTTAAAAACCTTCGGTGGCTCCCAAAGGCCATCAGATGACACATCCATCATTCAGCCCCGCCTTCAAGGCTGCCTGTGACATACACTGTGAACTTCCTTGCAACAGGGTTTTCCCGTGTGTGCTTTCTGGGGCCCCAGGGCCTCTAGAATTGACTCAGGCCGTGGTGGGTTTGGAAGTCATGAAGTTGGATGTCGGCGTAAAAGTCAGGAAGGGGCTTTGCTGGCTGAGGCTCGCTAAAGAGGTACAGCAGGACTCAGCTTCGCTGGTGGCAGGTTTCAGTAGCTTAGTCAGTGTTCCAGGCTCCATGGTGCCCGGCCCTGCAGTGGGGGCACCATCTTCCACGGAGTCCACGAAGGAAGTCGCCCACCGGGCTGTCGGCAGAATTACAAAGCCTGGTTTGCCTTTATGTCCCTCACACCCTTCCTGTTGCTTTGTCCCCCTCCCGTACCTAGGACTCTTCCCACCTGGTATCACTTCTCTTGAGATCCTCAACGTCACATTTATATTTAAATAAAGGTGTCAGATCCCAGTTATGAGTCTACCCAGTGGCCTAGAGTTTTCCGAGGCCTCACTCTTCTTACAGTCCTAAGTTACGCAGAACGTTTGAGGAAAGGGTGAGTTTCAACTGGAGGTTGGGCTGTACCATCCATTACCAGGGTCACCGGTTCCTAAACTTCCATGTGTGTGGAAATCGCCTGGGGAGCTTGTTAAAATGCAGATTTGGTTCCGTGGGTTCCAGGATCTCTATTCCTTTTAAGCTCCTGGGCGATGCCAATGCTGCTAGACTGGGGAGCACGCTGTGAGTGACGAGGATAAAGACCAGATGTCCCTGGAGAGCCGTCCGGGAGAAGCTCAGGTTCCCAGGCTCCGTCACTCCCACGCCAGGGGCTCAGAGGCTGCCGCCTGGCGTAAACACAAGCCGTTTGCCTCGGGAGCTCAGGGGCATACATGAGGTAGTGGGGTGTCTGCTTTTCCACGTCTTCGCAGACCTCAGTTATCTCACAGGCCTAGACCGTCAGAAGGCTCTCATCTGGCTGTTGGAGATGGTCCTTCTCATCTCCAGAAGGCAGTTCAGCAAGTTCTCGAGGGAAAAGGGTAAATGCTGCCTTCGGGGATCTCCTGGAGCAGCTTCCAGCAAGCGGAGGAGGTGCCTGTGGACTTGTTCTCCTTAGCACCTCGTTTTTCTCCCTACTGTGTTTACAAACAGGCGGCTTAGCCGCAGGTCTTGGGTGGATGACACCCACTCTCGTTCACTTCTGTGTATGTTACTCTGGAGAGGGAAGATAATGCAGTTTAGCTAAGCCAAGCTGTAGGTTGGAAGTTATAACCCACCTAATTCCTTACAGAAGCTATTGATTAAGGCTGTGTCTCTGCCACCTGCTGTGCCTGGGCCTCCTGCCATGTGGTTGATGGCAACTCTGACAGCCCCGTCCCTGCAGAACCCAGAGCTCCTGCCACGTTTGTTTCCAGCAAGTCTTTAGTGTCTGCTCTCCTGCCTCCTCACCCCCCGCTTCCTTCTAAAGCATGTTTTGAAGTCCACACTGAGACAGGTCACCCAACCCATTTGTCATGTGGTGGGGTTACAGACTGTGGAGTCTGCAGCAGACGTCAGCTGGGCCTTTGGAGGCCCGTCACCTCCCCAAAGAGAACACTCTTGTTGACCATCTGGCACGGGGGCGAACACCTTTCTTGCCCAAGAGGTCCTAGGCTTCACTCCAGGGAGTGGCATGAGGGTTAGAGCTCAGAGAGAAAGAAAAAAGTGGAGTCAGAGACCCAGGAAATGAGGTCCCCGCGGAAGGTAAGAGCCTTTGTAAACGTGCCTTTGTTACCTGGATGGATGTTCAGTAAGCATTTGTTGAATGAATGAGTGAAAACAAGTCAAGAAGGAAAAAGCTATTGCATATGAAGCACGGGTGTCACCACCAAATGTCCTGTTCTGCTTCCCTCCCACCAATTACTTGTAAGGCTCTTGTCCCAAACATGCTGGGGGCCTCATGGAGACATCTGGACGTGTCCTCCTGAGAAGGTTAGCAGTGACTTATTTCATGGGGTTGTGGCAGCTGTGACTGGTCTCCTTCAGGTCATGGAGCTTCTGGACCTGGTTGATAGCAGAGCCTGGACTAAAGCCCATATCCCGTGACCCCCAGCTCAACACGCTTTCTATTCTGTCAAGCTGTTGACCCAGCCAGGAAATGTGCACTATCCGTGTTTACCCCTCTGTGAGCGAGCATGGGAGTGAATTAACTTGGGGACCTGTCACTGACCTCCATAAGGCCAAGGGGCCTCCCAGAAGACTTGACCTCGAGCCCTGCTCTGTTCTTCACCTTGGGCAAACACTTTTACCCAAAGAAGTTACCTCTTCCCCCATATACAGTGGGGAGGATGCCTAAGGTCAGCAGCAGTGGGGGCCACGAACTAACGGTGACTCGTCTGTGCCGGCACTAAATGAAAGATGAAGGGACAGGTATCCAAGGGGCTGCCGCACTTCCCTTCCCTGCCGAGGAAGTGCAAAGGACTCTCCCTTCCAGTTTAGAACCCAAGCAAGGCTCCACACTTGATCAGCCTGGATTTTTTTTTCTAGGTCGTTGGAGGCAAAGAAGTAGTGCACTGTATCCCCTTCCCTTTTTCCTTCCCTCCCTCCCTTCGGTGAACAATTACTGCCTGTTTGCTGTGTAGTGGGCACTGTTTCTGGGCACTGGGAATAGAGCAGTGAACAACAACCCACAGCCTCGTGGGGCTCACATTCCAGTGGGGGAAACAGCAAGGCAAAGCCAACACGTAAGCGAGGTAGCTGGTGGGGAAACAAAGCATGGAGAGGAGTAGAGTGCTGGGAGGGGTTGTGATATTAATCAGGATGGTCAACGAAGACCCCCCTGGGAAAGTTGACCTTTGAGAATAGACTGAAAGGAGCTGAGGGAGCCAGGCATTTAGGTCTTTGGAGGAGAGTCTTTCAGACAGAAGGAATAGCGAGTGCAAATGTCCTGAGGCTGGAGTGGCCGGTGTATTTGAGGAAGAACAGGAGGGCTGGCGAAGCTGAAGCCAAGAGTGTGTGAGGGGCTGAGAAGTCGACGAGAGAGAAGATCTGGGGCCAGATCATGAGATCACAAGGTCGTTAGAAAGATGGGAAATTACTGCAGGATTTCTCCTGGCTGCTGGTTAAGGAGTGGGTCAGGGCGTGCGGAGGGCGGGTGGCAGCAGGCAGAGGAGTTAGCACCTCTCAGCTGTGAACAAAGGCGGGTGGCGATGAGAACTTGGACAGGGGCAGAGCAGTGAGGGGTGAGAAGTGGTCGATTCTGAATGCATTTTAAAGACAAAACCAAAAATCCTTGCCATTGGGTTGCATGTGGGACGTGAGTGAAGGAAAGGAGACGGAATGACGGCAGGTGTTTGGGGTTTCTTTTCGGCTGAGTAGCTCAAAGGATAATGTGCCATGAACTGGGATGGGGAACATGTGAGAAGAACAGGGAGAATGTGAGGGCCTCTGCATTGGGCATATTAAACTTGAGATAATATGGAATGAGACTAAGAAGAGCCTACGTTTGCTGAGCTCTTCCTATGTGTCAGGCACTGGGCAAAGCATCTTACAGATATGGTCCCATCTCATCCTTACAACAGCACTCTTACCGTAGAGATAAGACAGCGGGTAGCTGTACCCATTCACAGCCTGACAAGACCTCCTGCAGCAGCAGCAGCAACATAGATCTTTCCTGTCTGATTGTTCTGTCTTAAGTGCACAGCCATGGTTGGTATTGGCTTGCCACACTGTTAATGAAGACATGAGTCTTCTCCTTGGTCCCGCTGCACGGCGAGATTATCAGCTTTGTTCTGTTCCTGGAGCCTCATGGGTGCCGTGTAAACACAGAGTGAGTGAGTGAGTGAGTGAGCTTGTGGAACCTGTAGGCGCCGGCCACAGGCTGGACTGACCATGTTCCTCGCCTGTGAGGGGAGAAGCCAAGGAACGGGACCCAGGGATGGGGTACATCCATCTACCGGGTGCATGGTGGGTACGTGGGAGAGTGAGCTTGAAAACCAGGGGCACGGAGTGTTCAAGGTGAGCAACTTCATAACTAGAAGCATCAAAAATAGAAACGTGAAAACATGAGTCAGCCTCTGAGGTGAGCAGCGTAAAGCAAGGTGTGAGTGATGGCGGGGGCAGTGGGGCGGGGGACAGTTCAAGCCTAATCTGTGAGACCAGGTGTGCTTTGTTGTTCCTTACCAGCTGGGAGAGTCTTACCAGCTGGGAGAGTCCTACTAGCTGGGAGAGTCCTACTACCTGGTTCAGTCTTACTAGCTGGGAGAGCCTTGCCAGCTGGGAAAGTCTTACCTGCTGAGAGAGCCTTACTAGCTGGGACAGTCTTTCTAGCTGGGAGAGTCTTACCAGCTGGGAGAGTTTTACTAGCTGGGAGCCTTACCAGCTGGGAGAGTCTTGCCAGCTGGGAGAGTCAGTCCTAAGGAGGTCAGTAGTGTGTGCTGAAAAAAAGAGAAGTGGGAAGAGCTCTAACTGTAAGCCATTTAAGATGTTAGCTACCTCCTTGCTGAGTAACAGATCACCCCAAACTGAGTGACTTATAACAGCCGTGGTGATTTGTGATCTCTCACGATTCAGGAGCAGCCAGCGACGTCTCAGAGGCTCTTCCCTCCCACGTGTGGCGCCTGAGCTGGAGTAGGTGGAGTTCCCTGTCCTCCGGCATTTCTCTCTCTGGGGTCTCCACTCAGGGTCTTTCCAGCATGGTGTCTTCACGACAGTGATACTTCCTATGTGACACCTCAGGGTTCCAAAGCCACGTGTCCCCAGAGAGAGAAACAACCAGGAGGGAGCTCGGGGGACAGACAGCCTCCTCTTTGCTGCAGTCTGATTGTCAGAAGCTAGTGCCCACAGTTGGCCCTTGTTCACGGGACATGAAGTAGACTCCACCTTTTTCTGGGAGGTAAATCCAAGGATTTGCTGGCGTGATTTATAACCACACAGAAGCCTGTGACATGGTCTGGGGACCTCATAATTATACCCTCCTATTATACAAGAGGCGTTCAGTGGAAAGTTTCTCGGTGCCTGCGGTGGTTGGCGATTAATGTCGGACGTGTGAGGGATGATGTGACGTGCAGGCAGGTGGCTACGTTGTCTGAGACTAAATACTGTGTCGATGTCATTACCAGGAAAACCCCCAGGCCTGGAAATACTTTTTTTCTGTGACTCAGGATGGTATATATCAGAGTACATTGTAAAGTAGTTCATGTCACAGGGATACAAAATAGAGCTAGGAGACATAAGGCAAGGAAACAGTAAGGCAGGAAACAGTAAGGAGACTGAGTGGTAGGTAAGAAAGTGACCTTGACTTTGCTGTGCTTTTGATTTGACGCGACGGCAGAAACTTCCAAGTCTTTGAGAGAGAGCAATATTCTGGACCAACTAGATCAGCCAGCTGCCTCCATGACTATTAAAGCCAGTAGTGACACCAGTTCTGGCAAAACCAGACCTCTCGTGCTACTGACCCCAGTGTGAAGGCACTTGGGGTTCTATGTGCGGAAATTGAACTCTAGGTAATTGTTTTGTTAGAGGGGAATTGGGAGTCTCAGTGAATTCAAATCTACTTCCAAGAGGTGTTTGAAAGCCTCCTGCAAGGACATTGATTGCACTATGGGATGGTTGGCTGATGCCAGCTAATTAGGAAAGCCCATTCTGGGCCTAGCTTGAGTGAGCCCGGGGAAGGATAAACGGTGTTACTATAGCTGGTACCCTGGAGTTCCCAGGATAACCTGTAGTCTCCTTACACTTGATTGAGTTTATTCCACGCACAGACTTCCGCTAAAGGCCACCGTGTCTCAACGTGTGAGGCAGTTGCCAAAATGGAGTAGTGCCAATAGCTGGAGCTCTTGTCTGTTGCTGCAGCTAAACAATTAAAGAGGAACCTGAGTTTCACCGGAAGCAATTCCTTGGACCATTTGGCGCCGTCTACAACTGGGTCCAGGCATTACCACCGCGGGGCCGACTGGCTGGCAAAGGTTCGCCGAGGCTGGGGTACTTTCCACTTTGGGGTCCAGCATTATGACTAACTTCTCAGTGTCTCAGGCTGGGCAGATTCCCATGGGGGCAAACCCCAGACCCGCATCTCGTAGCGTGTGATGGTGGAATGTAATTTGGCAAATGTTGTACGTATGATGCAAAAATAAATCCATAAGTAAACAAACTTAAAAAGGAGACAAAGAGAAAGTGAGCAAATAAATTTGGAAAACTAGGCTCAATAAAAGTAGTTTTTTCCCTTTTTTGAAACAGGATTTCTCGGAGCCTTTAATACGCCACCACGCCTTGTGAATGTCCAGAATGACAGGTAGCATTTTCACCTCTTATGTGACCATCGGAACCATGTTCCCATGATCACGTTGGGTGACTTCGTTTTCCAGCAACAACTTTGGGATACACTGTCCTAGATCAGAGCTACTTGGAGGGCACCCTTTGGCCTGATGGTCCCCAGTGGGGTAAGTACAGAAATTGAGAGTAAGCTTTTAGAAAGTTTTCTGGCAGTTGGACAGATTAATTTTTATGTCTGTTGAACCTAATACCAAAGTAGTGGGGCTTATATTTTGTATTTCTTTGCTTGGTATTTCATGTTCGAGTCATTAATTTTTAGGGTACTTTACAAAAAATACCCATCTGCAGCACACTGAAAATTAAAAAAAAAATCACAGTCCTTCCCCTCATCATTTGAGAGCGTCCCCACCAACATCAAACCCCCGATCAGATTTTTCTAGCATCAGGCCATGAGCACAAAGGTTACCCAGATAGACTCCAGACTACCTTCCAGCATCCCCTACCCCTGTAGGGCAGCCAGCCCTGCCTGTTATCATTTCTTCATGCACCTGTAATTTTGTAGTCTGAGTGCGGAATCTCAGACCCCCGCAGCGGTCCATCCACTCCTTGCTCCGGAACGAGAAGCCCCAGGATGCTACCTTGTCAGGAGGAGAAAAGGCAACAGCCATCACTCTGCCTGACCCGCCCGCCACACTCAGCAGCGCTTACCTCCCACCCTTGGAATATTGCTGACAGCTCTTTGAAAACTTAAAAAGTATGACAGGCTTTCAGGAATGGTGACTTCCCACCAAGGAATGGAGGCATGGGAGCATTTAAGTACCTGGGTTTAAATAATGCTTGCCTTTTGTTCTCCCTAATAGTGCTGGTCATGTGGGTTTTTCTTCCCCACAGCTTTCTGACGTGATCGTTCTCCAATAGAGGACTTAAGTCTTTTAAAAACAGTAATTTTGGTAACAGTGGTAATTGCTTTAATTAGAGTTCTTTAAAGGTAGATCCTTCTCGCCCACCCCCTCTTAAGACGTGACTCATGCTCTGATCTATCGCGTTACCCTGAATCCACGCGGTATTATTTCCTCCTCATACCTGTTAACGGGCATTGTAGGAGAGGAGGTGGAAAACTTCCAGAAGTCGCTATTTTTTCAGTCTAGAATAATTACAAGTAATTTTTCTTTGTTTCCAGGAAATGGTAGATAATCAGCTTTCTGTAGAGAAAAATATGCACGTTGCATATGACTGCACTTTCCACGGGGACCTTTCATGGGGACTAGAGCTCTTAACTGCCCACTGGGTTCCATTTGGATCACAAAAGCCTTCTGTGGCTCCCCAGCAGAACTGATTTGCCTCTCGTGTTTCCGGGGACCCAGTCCTGTTATGAAGCGACAGTAGTTGGCCCTGCATAGAGTTTTTTATCCCCAAATAGCCGCCTTCTTTCAAATGGCTGTTGGAGCTGCTTGACACACACTAGGGAAGCTGGCAGAATATCATGCCCTTCCCTTCAGGTATGAGAAGCGTGGTGACAAAGAAGCCACCCAGAAGGCCCCACACGGCTGGGTGGGGGGCTCAGGAGAAGCTTGCAGGGACCAGCCTCCCCCTCGGCCCATCCGGATAACCTCCTCCGCTCCGCTCTTCTGTATGTCGGAGGGGACAGAAACGGGCAGCTCTGGCTCTTTGAGTTCTATTTTCTGTTGAGTTTCAATCTCCTGGTTGGTGTTGGGTGAAATTGCTGAGAAAAGTATCCATCACAGATAATCTAGAAAAGGGGAGATTGGAAACCATTGAATTTTGCTTCTAAAACTCCTCTTGGAGTGTGACAAGCAAAAGTAAGTAATTTGTATTCTGGAGTTCCTGTTCACTTATACTTTCATGTCCTTTCTTTGTGCTTGTCCACATTTTAGGAAGATAATAAATGTTTCCTCTGCAATTTTCTTTCTATCTGTCATCTATCCATCCATCCACCCACCCATCCACCCTGTACTTATATCTGTTTATCTGTTTATCTATACGTCATTATCTGTCTGTAAGGGAGGACAAATTCTCCTCTACTCTTTAGGTCTCCAGTTGGGTCTAAGAATTAAATGGACAAAGACAGATGAACAGGAGAAAGGCATACACGTTTTAGTAAACTGTTACATGTACATAGGAGCCTTCATAAGAGAATGAAGACCTGAAGAAGCAACCAGAACAGAAAGCTTTTATACCTTTTAGACAAAGAAACAATACATTTGTGAAGAATGGACAAGACACAGGGCTTTGGGCCAGAGGTGGTAAATGGTGAAGTAAGATAAGGGTTGGCTGAACTCTCGGCCTCAGATTCCCCATCTCTGGTGATAAGAGTATCTTCCTTTCTCCCAGTACAGGGAGGACACCTTTCACAGGGGAGTTTATCTCCTGCTTTCAGGAAGAAAAAGGAAAATTAGAGAGCCCTTGTTATACCTGCTATTTCTCAAGTGCCTTTAATTCAAAAGAATCAGTATGCCTGAGTGGCATATTTTGGGGGGACATCCTGTGAACTCCTTCACCATCCATTCTATACCTATATCTCCATCTATCTATACATCAGCTGCCTGCCTATCCATCCATCCGTCTGTCCATCCATCCGTCCGTCCATCCATCCGTCCGTCCGTCCATCCGTCCATCCATCCACCCATCCACCCACCCATCCATCCATCCATCCATCCTATACCTGTCCCTGTACCTGCCCACCTATCTACCATCATCCATCCTCTGTCTCATTCACCAATAGCCCGCGTGGCCAGGTGATCACCAATTAAGCCACACTTCATCTTGCTGTGAATTTCACAGCTACCTGTCAATTTGTGGATTGTTAATCTGGGTCCCTTCCCTGTCCAGCCCCTCAATCCTGAGATCTCTCCAGCGTCCAAATTTGGCATTGTGGTGTCTTATTCATGCTCTGTCACTGAGCTGGGCTACCGTCCCTCCCTGTCAGGCTGCTGCCCTCACCAACACGCTAGCTTTGGCACTCAGCCCTGCGTTTCAGGTACAGAACAGGCTTTTCCCTTAAATTCTGACACCACAACAGGAACCAGACTGTGTTGATGAATGTGAGTGAGAGAAGGGGAAGGAGGTACAGCACAGGTAACAGATAACCCTACTGGATGGGACTTCCCTTAGAGCCTCTAGGTGGGTCTGTCCTGGGGGTCCTTTACAGAGCTCCCCCCACACCTGCTGCCAGGTGACCCTCATGGGGAGGAGGGGCCGCTTCCTCCCTGGGAGGGCTTTGTGCTTGTCCCGCCTCTGCATTCAGAGGCCAGCCTCCCTAATCCTCACTTCCTGTCTCAAGAGCAGCCTCTCCCCAGGATGACTGACAACAGAAATGGCCCTTGTGTTTGAGAGATAAACCCGCCCCCACCCTTAGCCTCAGGAATGCTCCCTTGCCTTCTGGTACCTGACAAGAAGGTCCATTAGAACATGATTTTCCAACGTGAGCCTTAAAAAACAAGTGGGTCCAACAGCGTTCCCAAAGGCTGACAGAGACAGCAAGCTACCCAGGTGCCTGCTCTGGACTTTCTTCTCTCCTTTATGATAGAATTCTCCAACCCAGCCTGGCCTCCTGCAGGTGTGCCACCTGCAGGCTGCAGGTACAGCTACTGCAAACCCATTCCTTAGCCCCTAGCCCACCAATTACTTCTTTTTCAGGAACAATTCTGTTTCTGCCGTTTACTCCGCATAGAATATGGAGCTTCTCAGCCTCAAACACGCGCATTCAGGCCAACAGACTCAACAAGAAGCATGATGTCTGCTTTATATTTCATAATCAAATGTCCACTTAATAGTTCTTCCCAAAACAAAGACGATCAGTCTGTCCCAAAGGTGAATTCAAATTTCTTCTTTTTACTAGGTAAATACTGCTTACATGTTTAAGATGATTTTTAAAAGGTAACGAAACAAACAAAACCCCCCAAACCTTAGTTAGGGACTGGGATTCTATTTGGGCATCCTGTTTCTCCCCTTCCCTCTCTACCTGTCCTTCCTACCTACCCTGCCAAAGCTGCTCTGAGACAAGTCTGTATATAGTCCCATGCTGTTTACCCTTGGGAGCTCTCAGCCCATGCTCCACCCTGGCCATATCCGCCCTCTTTACCCATTCATTTCTGTCCCCTCTGAGCAGAGGTGAGGGAGGCCACGTCACACATGCAGTCTCAGCTGGGGTGGCAGCAGCTACCGGGACCCCCTTTCCTTAGAAGCAGTCAGTCAAGTGGGAGTTCCTTTTCTCAGTTCCTGGATCACATCTGCTTATTAAGAAAAAGTATTTTAAGACTTGAAAATGAGGCAAAAGGTGATGGCATGTCATTTCAGTGTTAACTCAAAAAGATAACCCCAAAGGTTTCAGTTTATTATTCCCTAGGGCATTAACCAGTTTTGTACTATTTTGTATTAACCTAGCACTCAAATTCTAACAGTCCTTTATGAAATTGCTATAAATATCAAGTTCCCCAAGTGTTCCTGGAATTATATTACTATTTCCATCATTCATTAATGAATTGAATGAAGTATTTGATGTGCTCATTTCAATCCTGTAATAGTTATCTATTGCTGGGTAACAAATTATCCCAAATCTTAGTGGCTTAAACAAATAATAAACATTTGTTATGTTACACAGCTTCTGTGGGTTGGGAATTCAAGAGCATTTTAGTAGAATGATCTAGCTTGGGTTCTTTCATGAGATTGCAATCGGCCAGGACTGCAGCCAACTGTAGGAGCCTGGGCGGATCTGCTCTCCAAGATGACTCCCTTATGTGGGTGACAAGCCAATGGTCACTATTGGCAGGAGGCCTCAGTCCTCACCATGGGGACCTCACCAGATACCTGCGTGAGTTTCCTCATGACATGGCAGCTGGCTTCCCCCAGAGCAAGTGATCCAGGAGAGAATAGGGGAAAGTCACAGCGTCTGCTAAGACCTAGAAGTTACATCCTGTTGGTCACATTAGTCAGTCCTGTTCATTGTGGGAAGAGGTGACACAAGGGCAAGAGTACTGGAGGATGGGGATCATTGGGGGAAGTCTTAGAGGCTGGCTACCAACATCCTCCCTCTGTGCCCCAGTGATTCACGTCCTACCCACACACAAAATGTGCTTAGCCTCCCCCAGGGCCCCCAGTGCAGTAGAGTATCAGTTTGAAGTCCAGAATTTCATTATCCAAATTAGATCCAGATGTTCTTGAGGCTCCTTAGGTGTAGTTCCTTGAATCCTCAAAGCCAGGTCTGAAATTTGTGAACTAGAGAGACAAGTTATCTGCAATAATAGGACAAGCATAGCATAATTACTGAAGACCCTCCTGTTCAACAGAGTTGGAAATTGGGGATGCACGGAAGTCACTGGTTCATAGCAATTCTGAAATCCAGTAGGGTACAAATTGACATTTCCTGGGAATAATTTTCCACAGCTCTTGGATTTACTCTGCAGGCTTTTGGTTTTACCCTCTGAGTCATCCTTCCTTTTCCTGTATTTGTGTAGTTTTCTCAGCCTGCTTCTGCCTTGTACAAGTTTCAGGGTCCAAAGACATCTTTTCAGTTTGTGCTGTCTGTCCCTTTCAGCTCAAGCTGTCAGTGCTTCTTCCAATATAATTCTCTTAAAAACCTTGTGGATGACCTGTGAATCTCACTGCGGGGTGGGGGGCTCACTCCATTAGAGGAAAAAAAAAGCTTCACCTACAAATAGCTCCAATATATGCCCTGAAAGGACAGGGTTGTTGAAGTGCTCAGTCTGTGGCATTTGTTATTTGTATGGCAGCCCGAGCCGACTAAGGCACAGTCACACTCTTGGGTTCATCTTTAGACCAGATTTTCCTGATGGTGCCTGTACTTGATTTTTACCTAAGAGCCCTTTAGATTTAACATCATTTGCCATCTGGAGAAGGTGAGAATTTTCAAAAGCAGGAAGTGCTGCCTCTCTTTTTTTTTAACAGTCCTGCCTTTAGCTCATTTCTCTTGTCTCACTTTTTACCAGAAGCAGCAAGAAGAAATCACTCTTCAGTACTCTGCTTGGACCATCTCCTTTGCTAGACCACCCCATGCCTAAGGTACGTTTTCTATCTTCCTTATAAGGCAACAGTGCTGGTAAAGTTTCTGTCTCTACTACATAACAATTTCCAGTAAGATTTTTCCCTTTTCTTTAATCCCTTACCTGAGGCCACCTCAAAGACAGTCATGCTTCTATAAACAGTTTTTCAAGGCTCTTCAAGTTTTCATGGACACTTTCCTCAAAGTCCTTCCAGCTTTTACTATGAGGTTCCAAAGCCACAAGGAAACTTTCCTCTAATATCCCTAAACTTATCTGGGAATTCCCACACCAAGAGACAGGGGCCCATCCTCAGAAAACCCCCTCTCACTCTTTCCCAGGAATTCCCCCACGCCTCCAACTCTATTCTTTTAATCCTCTCTCTCTCTCAGTAAGGATGGTGTGTGATTAGTTTGTTGGATATACTTTAGTCATGTCTTACAGAGAGATCACAGCTCTTAAACTTTTGGCCAAGAATTGAAGCCCCCGGAGGTCTGTGTCTGATGGGGACCCTGACTAGTGGGAGTGCAGTTGTATTCACACTAATGAACACGTCACACTGTCATTTAGAGCCTTGTGTCATTCTAGGTGCTGCTCCATTTCATTCCTTCAGAACCTTATGAAGTAAGCTCACTGATTGACCAGATGGACCCTGGTGGAGGCATGCAGGGATCAACTCAGGTGTCTCATTTCTGTTCCCATCTGAACCTGAATCCAGGCATTTGCAAGGAGCCTGTGACATGCCAGGGGCAGCGGCTGCTGCTGCCACAGCCATCATCCCTCCATCTCAGGGGCCCTTAGAGCCCCATGGCCTGAGCCACCTTTGTGCATGGCAGCCAGAGGGGCCTGGCGCCACCCCATCACAACCCCTGCTGGAAACAGCTGCCCGCCCTCCTGTTGTTGGGAGGGAGCAGCATTTGCTCCCCGGCACTGTCTCTGAGAGCAGCCTTGGCCAGAGAAAGGTTGGCGGAGTAGAGTTTGTTCATCTGTTCCATCTGCTCCCACCGCCATGGAAGAGGTCACGACGGCCCACTTATGTGCAGCCAGTAAATCTGTAAGAGTTTTGCTAATACTGGAAGGGGCATACATGGGCGTGCGAGTTGACTGGATCGTGGCCAGCTGTGTGGCTTTTGGCAGGTGATTTAATCTCTCTGAGCCTCCGTGTCCTCATCCACAAGATGGGATGCCAACCTCTTAGAGGTGTTGTGAGAGTTAAGTATAAAACATTTGGTACAGTGTTGGACAAAGGGGAGACGTTTAAGAATGTAAGTTTTATTATTTAGTAGTAAGGAAAGAGGTTTTCATTTGGGGAAAAGTGTATAAGTGTGAAAAAAATTAGATAGCAGGTCTCTATTAGCTTGATGTAGAAAAAGATACTGTAGGACCCCAGACTTCTATGCTACACCCACGAAGAATGAGGAGAGCCCCTTCTGTCTACCATCAGGGGTGCTCAGGCCATGTTGCTTGGTCCTTGTTATAGATTGAATGTTTGTGTCCTCCCAAAATCCATCTGTTGAGATCCTAACCCCACAGTGTGATGGTATCAGGAGGTGGGGCCTTTGGGAGGTGATGAGGTCATGAGGGTGGAGCCCTCATGATGGAATTAGTGTCCTTATAAAGAGACCCCAGAGCACTTTCTAGCCCCTTCTGTAATGTGAGGACACAGCAGGAAGGCACCATCTGCAAACCAGGAAGCAGCCCTCACCAGTCACAGAAGCAACAGCCTCCACAGCTGTGAGAAATGAGTGTTTGTTGTTTAGGACACCCAGCCTCTGATATATTTGTTACAGCAGCCCGAGCTGACCAAGACAGTCCCATGGCTGATTTGAAGCCAGATGAAATCAGGGGTTTCCAGACACAATACTCCTGTGGTGTAGAAACAGGCACAGACTTACTATTTTTTGGAAAGGCTACATTTAATTCATTGTCTCTGTACCTCGTTTTCTTTATTTGGAAGGTGAAGGATTTGACCGGCCCTCAGACAGGCTTGGAGAATAACGGTCCATCATTCCAAGGGCCTGACTGCCTTCAAACAGCCTCTCAGTCTTTTCTTCGCCCCGAATTGTTTTTCATTGCCCAACATGGCGTCAGCACATAATAAATGCTCAGGCAACCTACGATGACTGTCTGATAAGGCCATTCCTCACTCTGCCGGATCTTTGTTACGTGCCTCCACCACCCGAGGCTGCTGGAACTGAAGTAGAAATTCCTGTTTGCCAAGCTCTGTCTCCTTCAGTGGCTTTAATGGAGCCTCTGTGTGTCCAGTCTCCCCCGAGTCCTGGTCTGTATGTACTTTTTCAGCCCTGGAAAAAATGCGTGTTTGAGCACTTGATTGGACTCTACTTACAGGTGAAAAGAAAGTAGAAAAAGAACTGCCCCCCCCCCCCAAAAAAAAAAACCCTCAACTCGAATTCTATTGCCAATCCTCCTCGGAGCTTAACCAAGCTCGCAGCCTTGACACCCAGTCCCGGGAAAGGAGTTGAGTGGTTGTGGTCTGGGTGTCAAGGGTCCTGCCGAGACCCAGCAGGAGGGATGAGTCGTATTAATTCTGTCAGACACCAAGGGCCTCGTTGCAATTCTTTTCAGTCCCCGCTCAGAGGTCTGCAGGGAAAAGAATGTTTTAAAATCGAGGACGAAACCTTGGTGCAGGCGGCCTGCCTGGTCTTGGTGGCCAGCTCTCAATAGAGAAATCCAGCGTCCAGCGTCAGGCTCTCCACGTGAAGGGCCCTCCCCACGTCCGTCACTGAATGAGGAGCCTGCACTAGTGGTTCTCTCCGCCCCGGAGCACTCTGTTTGGTGGCTGACTGTAAACTTGGTAACTCGGGGAGTGTGGGTCTGCATCCCCAGACTGATCTGTCCTCTCCCCTCTCAGAGGAGCGCATCTGTGGCCTGAGAGTCGTTCAGTGAGATCACTGTTCGGTTGCCCAACCAGTGGCATCGATTTTGTGTTGCTGTGTAAGCCCCCTGTTCAGCTGGACGGGAGCTGCCGACTTGGCGCAGGGCTGGGGGCCCCGGGGTGCCTGGCGGGCAGCTGCCCCTGGCTCACGTTATATGCTGTGGCCCATGTTTCTTTCCACTAAGAGTCTGTTCATCAGTGTCCTTCTGGACGTGGCTGTGTCTCCGCGGCAGCTGTGGGTTTTAATTTATTCATGTGTGTGTTCTCAGAGCCCTGCACCACTGCCAAAGGCTTTATGGCCTCTTAAAGTTTCAGAGCCTTTGCTTTTATGGCCACTGTTTGTTGAAGGGAAGTGCTGTTTGGGGAAGTGATCGGTTTACCATCCGACTGGACGATGGATGAAGGATTAGATTTTCCTCTTTTATTTCGCACTTGAACACAACCTGAGCATATGCTGTCCAGCGCCGCGAGTTTTCCCGAACGTCCATTAATTCGTGCGTACGTCCATGGAATCTCCTCTGTGCCAGATTCAGTGCTAGGCATGTGCTAAGTTTGTGTGATCTATCATATTGAATCCGGTGGATCAGGTTCCTCTGAGATCTGCTGCAGCACTGCTGGGATTTGGATGCAAAGCGTGCATCCTCTAAGTGCGGTGCAAGCCTCTCTAGCCTGGCCTTCGCAAGGCGTGTTAGACTCAAGACTGGGTCTGTCGACAGCGGGTCTACTGAATAGCTGGGGTGACCATCATCAGTATTATCAGGTGAAGAGAGCTCAGGACTGCGCAGACCTGTCTTAGCCTGTTCTGCCTGCCCTGTATCAAGGGGACGGCCCTCGTACGGAGCACACGGGGAAGCAGGTGCCACTGTAACAGCGGCTGGGCGAGCACAGGTCTCACTGTGCAGGCCTGTCCCACCAAGCTGGCGTGGACTCAGCAGGAGCCTCTCTCCCCTGCAGCCACAACCTTGAGAGGGGATTTTATCCCCTTCTACCCTGGTGCCTCATGCAGGAGAGCAAAGCAAAGCACACCAGGTACAGCAGCAGGGAAGAGAGACGAGCACGGTGGCCGGGCTCGGCCATCGACCCTGTCCCAACGGAGCCTGAAGAGAAGGGCCCCAGGGTGTCCAGATGAGCAGTGACCTCTCCTCCCGCAGCCACAGCCCAGCCTGAGCTGCACAAAGCCAGGTGAGAACCCCTCTCCCCCACCCTCTAGAGGGAGGTGGAGAGCGACAACTCCCTCCTCTGTGTTACTCTGCGAACCCCTCATATTCCTGCAGGATCAGTGCAGTGGGAAGTTCAGCTCGTGTCCCCAAAATAGGTCAGAATGGACATCAGTTAAAGCCAAGAGCACACTGCACATGAGACCCCAAGTCCCCACGCCCAGTTCCATGCCCACCTTCCTAACCAGGGAGAGACCCTGTGATCAGTTGTCCAGACACAAGGCCCAGAACAGGGACCCGCTCCCATTTGTGTTTCACCAGAGAAACGAAAGCCCCAACCAATGAAATCCCCGTTTCAGTTATTAGTTTATCATCTCTCAGCCCCAAATCCATCCTTCTTTGCTCTGCCTGTGACACTGGAGCTGGACCCCAGCTGGCTGGGGGAATATTCTTTTTTGCAGGCTGGAGGAATGCTAGGGTTCCTCAACAGAGGGCAACAGATGGACCACGGGGCCAGGAAGACCCTTCCCTTCCGGGTCCCGGCCCTGCATTGCTGTTGTTCCTCAGTGAAGAGCCTACACAGCTGCCCCACCCCCCGCCCCAGCGAGCTGCTTCTCCAGCTGGCTGCATGCTCCCTGTCGGGCAGGGTCTCCTGAATAGGTGGGAGTCCTAGCCCTGGTTGGGGGTGACCCCCTCCCAGCCCTTGTCCCCTATGTCCACTCTCCCTCCACCAGACAATGTCAGGCCCTTTTGCACCTGCTACTGCTGGACCCTCTCCAGTCCTCTTATACCCCTTTTAATAGTTTTGGTTAACAGTTCTTAATATTAAATTTCCCCATTCAGATAATCATGGTGGTCTATTTCTTCCAACTAGATCTTGACCAATATTACCCCTCCCTTTTTTGCTGAGAAATGAAAGTACAAAATAAACTCCCCTCCTTTAAAGAAATTGAACCCTCAAAGAAATCACAGCCCCCAAACTTTTTCTCCCTTATTGCATATTGGGTGTATGTGGAGTTAGCTGATTATTTAGACCACAGGGATATGAAGACAGAACTGGGCTGTGTTCTGCTGGGGTTCTGGGCTGGGAGCACTGGTGTCTGAGGCTGAAGGTTTGTCACCCTGCCTGTCTAGTGGAGGCTGAGGCACATCAGAGACAAGGTGACACAATGATGGAAACCCCCCATCGTACCATTTCAGTCCATCATTTAGCTGAGGCTCTTTCTTCAACTTCACATTTACGTGAGCCAATAAATTCCTCCCTCCCTCCCTCCCTCCCTTCCTTCCTTCCATGGTTTTTTTAACTGATATTCACATAAAATAAAATTAACCACTTTAAAGTGAGCCATCCAGGGGCATTTAGTGCCTTCACCATGTTGTACAACCACCACCTCTATCTAGTTCCAAAACATTTTCATCGCCCCAGAAGGAAACCTCATACCCGTGAAGCAGTTATTCCCTTCCCCTCCCCACCCAGCTGCTGACAATCGATCAGCTTCCTGTGTCTCTGGATTTGCCTGTTCTGGGTACTTCATGTGAATGGAATCATACAGTATGTGACCTTTTGTGTCTGTATTCTCATCACTTGAAAACTCAGTGTTTTCAAGGTTCATCCACGTCGTAGCATGTATCAGTACCTGATCCTTTTTGTGGCTGAATAACGTCCACTGTATGTATATGTCACATTTTGCTCATTCATTCATCCGTTGATGGACACTTGGGTTGTGTCCACCTTTTGGCTAGTGTGACTAATGCTGCTGTGAACATGTGTGTACATGTATTTGTGTGAACATGTTTATAATTCTCTTGGGTATATGCCTGGGAATGGAATCCTTGGGTCATATGGAAACTCTGTGTTTAACTTTTTGAGGAATTACCAAACTTTTCTGAAGTGGCATTGCATTTTCATACCTTTAAATCAAGAGTCCCAGCAAAAAAAAATATTGTGGCTTTTGGTCTTTATCTTGTATTAGTCTATTCAAGCTGTCATAGCAAACAAGTCTATAGCACAGGCAGGGCGGCTTATAAACAGCAGAAATTGATTTCTCATAGTCTGGAGGCTGGAAGTCCAAGTGGCAGCATGGTCGGGTGAGGGTCCTCTCCTGGGTCAGCATCTTCTCCCTGCATCCTCACATGGTGTAAGGAGCGAGGGAGCTCTGTGGGGTCCCTTTTATAAGGGCACTAATCCTATCCCTGCAGGCTCCACCCTCATGGCCTCATCACCCCAGAGGCCCCACCTCCTAATACCATCAGCTTGGGGGTTAGGATTTCAACATGTGGCTCTCGGGGGGACACACTCAGTCTATAGCAGTCTGGGAGCACTGGGGGGCTGTGGAAGGCTTTTAAGCAGAGAGGTGACAAAATCAGATCTGTGACTTAAACCATGGCTCTGGCTACGCTGTGGTGGGTGGATTCTAGGGAAGAAGCACAGACTCAGGGAGACCGGCGTTGAGGGGAGGGGTTCAGACCATGCAGCCTCGGGGAGGCTAGTGGGCGAGAGAGGAGGGGCGTGTCCCTTTACCCCATTTCTATGCCGGGGGAGAGTAGCCCTCAGATTCCAGAACTGCAGCCACCCTTATGGCTGAAGACTCCTTACTGGGCGGCAGTTAGAACGGGCAGGCCTTATAGTCAGGCTGTGGTTGGACCACATTCTCCACCATTTATCAACTGTGGGACTTGGGGTCCTTCCTAGCTTCTCTGTGTCTCAGTTTTTGCAGCTAGGAATCGGGGAGAGTAGGAAAATCTGGCCATATACAAGTGAGGTAATGTATGTAAAGTACTTGGCACGATGGAGAAGGCAGAAGGGCCTCCCCGCAAAGATGCCCACGTCCTAATCCCTGGAACCTGTAACTGGGTTGTGTTCTATGGCAGAAGAGGCTTTGCAGGTATAATTAAGGTTATAGACCTTAAGATCGGAAGATTGTCCTGGATTATCTGGGTGGGGCCAGTGTAATCACATGAGTCGTGTTATGGGCTGAACTGTGTCCCCCCACCCCCCGCCAAATTCATATGTTGAAGTCCCCAGAATGTGATTGTTTTTGGAAAGAGGGTCTTTAAAGAGGCAACTGAGGTTAACTTGGTCAGCATGGTGGGCCCTATTACATATGACTGGGGTCCTTATGAGAAGAAGACAGACACAGGGATGACCATGTGAGCCCACAGGAGAAGGCGGCCATCCACAAGCCAAGGAGAGAAGCCTCAGGAGAAACACCTTGCCCACACTTTGATCTGGGACTTCCAGCCTCCAGGACGGGGAGACAATAAGTGTCTGTTGTTTAAGCCCCCCAGGCTTATACTGGGACTTTGGTATAGCAGCCCTAGCAGTCTAATACACCTGTGGTTCCCTTTTTAATTTTGTTTTCAATTTTAAAGATGAAAAGAAACAAAGGACTCGAATCGACATTGCCAAGGCCCACAGATGGAACTTCATGAGTCAGGTCTTCTCCTCATGTGCGTCACCCACCAGAATCAAAAGCACCTTTGCTGGTCCCAGGAGAGATCTCTCTTCCCACCAAGGATAGAGGCCCCCAGCTCAGTTGGACCTCACTAAGGTGGGTCTGCTCTTCTGCTACGCCCCTTGGTGGTCGTGCTGGCAGCTGGAGGTCTGAACACAGGGCCCGGCCGCAGCCCACACCGTCCATACGACATTCATCCCAAATGCTCGTGCCGGGGCACCCCCTCCTCTGCCTGCTGAAGTGTCTCCAACAGAGACCCAGTGCCCCACGTCTAGACGTGGCCGCCAGAGGAAGTGGCAGTGATGGGGGTGCCCATGGCCGCAGGCGAAAGGAAGACAGAGGGAACCAGCAGGCTGGGGCATCCTGGCCCAGCTCGCCCACTGGGCAGCGTGAAGGGAGAGGATGCCGCCCCGCTTAGAACGGCCATCCTGCTGCTGGTAAACCTGCCCCGTCGGCGCCCTGGAGCCTGGCTGCCTGGTGAGCACCCTGCTGTGGTGGCGGAAGGGAGTCCGGGTGAATGTCCTGTGATATAGAGGAGCGGCATGGAAGCGGGGACTCCAAGGCAAGATACCCCGTCAGCTTCAGCGTCAAAAGTCAGTTAAATGGGATTAATGATAATGCTGCCCTGACCCCTTCGGAGGTTATTATTATGAAAACCATCATTCGTGTCTATGATTATGCCACATCCATTCCAGGTCCTTTTCCCACCGATTTTCTTAAAGCTCAGGAATCGGTGCTGAATAGGCTGCCGGAACCAGGCAGTATTGAGGATTTCTTCAAAATAATCCACTCAGGCCCCGTTCAGATGTGTTCTGCGTACACAGAGCTCCTCTGGCCTGTGGCACCGCCAAGTGGATGCATCAGGGGTGGCTGGACGGACCCTCCTGTCCCTCTGACGAGGACACCTGGTCGGGGTTGAGTTTTTGGCTCCGGGGAGGGTTCCTCCCACCCAGGGGGCAGATGTTCTGGCTTTGGAATGGGCAGGTCCTTTAACGTCTTTGACATAAAGTCCCATGATTTTCTTTGGATATCAGTCGTCACCCGTTTAACCTGGCAGTGACAAAAATCCCTGGGTCAAATTGGAGAATTTCACAGTCTCATCTACCCAGCTTGGGTTTGTATGAGCTTGCCCTACAAAGGAGAGAAGGTGGAGAGAGGAGGTGAGCAGAAATGCTGCTCCTTCAGCTCTAGATTCCTTCAGAGACAGCAGAGTTAGTGGAAAGTATGCCAGGCATGGTCTGTCTCACTCAGAATCGTGTGAAGTTGCAAGGAACAGAAAGCCAGCGTAAGCGGCTTGAACACGTATGCGTATACTTTTCTCATGTAAGCAGGTGTTCAGAGGTAGGGCTTGCTGCCCCTGGTTCCCTTAATCTGTGATGCTCACCCAAGCCTTTCCTTTGCCTCCTGGTTGCAAGACAGACGCTGTAGCTCCAGACATCATGTCTGAATTCAAGGCAGAAAGAAGGGAGGCGAGGAGTCAAACAAGCCATGTCTGTCCCTTTAATAGGAAAAGTAAAGTTTTCCCGGAAATGTTCTCAACCTACTTCCATTTGGATCCACTGGCCAGAGTGGATCATAGGGCCACCCCTAGTTGCAAGAGAAGTTGCGAAGTTGGGGAACAGGATTGTCACGGTTATCTGGTGCTGCGCATGTGGCCACCACAGAAAAGAGGAAGAAGGGAGGATGGAGGGTGTGGAGGCTACAACAGTTGCTTTGTCTGACTTATTGTGCAGTCACATCTCCATGCAGAGGACCTCCAATTGAGATTCATTTACGATGCCATCTTGAGCAAACAGGGTCTTTTTACCAGCTGTCTTATGTAGAAAAGCTGTTTCTACAAGTGATATTATTAACATCCCGGCCGAGCAGCCCTGTGGGTTGACCTTCACTTGCCGGTTGAGAGGAGACTGCTGAGTCCTGCATATTTACCAGCTGTTCCGTTGAAAACGGTTGCATATTTGGAAAGGAAATGAAGCAGATTGGTCTGAGGTTTCAGGATGAAGTTAAAAGTATGAAGGAGGGGGCTTCCCTGGTGGCGCAGTGGTTGAGAGTCCGCCTGCCGATGCAGGGGACGTGGGTTCGTGTCCCGGTCTGGGAAGATCCCACATGCCGCGGAGCGGCTGGGCCCGTGAGCCATGGCCGCTGAGCCTGCGCGTCCGGAGCCTGTGCTCCGCAACGGT